AACCTTCAGTTTTTTGTTTACCTGAGATAAAGGTAGATCAAAGCCAGTCCAAGACTTTCTCCACAATAGTACAACTGACTCTTAAATAACGCAGGGCTTAGGGGTGTGGGCAGGTGATCTGTGCCTGGCCAAGCCCTCCAGGGAATCCTGACTATGCCCTGCTGATGAGGAGAAGCCCTGACGTAGACTAACCCGAACAGTTCCTGGGGGATCCCTGAACTGCATGGACTATGACAGGGCAGCATGAACCCTTGAATTAACTCTGGAGAAGACGACACTGTGTCTCAGAGTCGGCCCAACTCGAGACTAACTCTCCTCTCTACGTTAGGTTGCAGTTTAATCCTTTTTCATTTTAATAATACAAACTTTTCAGAACACTAAGAGCTCAGCCAAATAGTTTTCATGCACCCCCTATTCCCTATCATATGCCATGCGCAATCATTTCTAGCTATTATTTTTTTCCCTACCTGAAGGTAGGAATCTTTAATTATTCAAGTGAGCTGCCGAGGTGTCATCGCTCACACAATGATGGGTCCATTGACCATTTCCCACTCCCACCCTACAGCTAGCCCCTGCAAGGAACTACCAGACCTCGTTGAATCAGCAAAGGCGTTGTTCTCAGCCTGCAAACTACTCTCCTTAAGGCAGAAATGATGGGCTCAAGGAGAAATCGAGCTTTGGCTTATTTGGGATACAAAGGGACAAGATTTTTCTGACCTGTTTATGGAAAACTGCACATCAGATATAGTAACGAAGCAAGGAGACTACACTAAGGCTCTTTAAGCACAGTATTGCTGATGTGTTTATCCTCAGTCCAAGCAGTTAGTCATGGAGTAAGGACACAGTGATCTTGACATGCCTGGTTTAAGGAAAACAGACAAGACATCTTAATGATCTATGAAACAGGAAAATGTCTATTACCTGGAATTACAAACCCCTCCTGGTGATTTTTCTGTGAGTCTCTCTTAGGAATGTGAACTAGATAAAACCACTTTAATCCAGGGGAATGTTTAACATGAATGTGTCAGAAAAAGAAACCTGTCTCCAGTTGTTATTTCTCTGTTGCTGAAACTCGGGGTCCAAGAGATGGTCCTCATTTGTCTTGGGCTTTGATCCAGCTTATAAGCTGTGGTTCTTAGCTGCAAATAACAGCAGCCAACTCTTCCAATTCAAACAGAAAAGAAATTTGCTAGAGATTATCAGGTAATATTTCCAGAGGGGCCAGAAAATGAGGTTTGGCAGTTATGAAACCAAGAAAGATGTCAAGGGTCGTGTCTCACAGCTGGTTGCTTCCTCCTGCCCTAGGCACAGGCCCCACGGCCTACGCACCAGTGATGACACTCAAACTTCTTCCCCTGCATCCCTGGAAAGTGGCATTAGCTCCCACCACCTGCAGCACAGAGATTCAGTGAAAGTGCCAACATTTCTATGTCACTAGGTTCCAAGCCAGTGGTTCTAATGAGCCAAATCTGTTACCTGCCATCCTGGCCACAAGACGGGGTGTGGACAATGAGAAACCAGCATCTACAGCGAGAGGTGTAATTCCAAAACGGGAGTGCCCCTAACGTAGAAAATTGTTCAAAGGTGCTAAGAAATCCAAAATGGCAGCACATATCTACCAGATCAAGATTTAGGATCCTCCAAAAGTTCACACCCCGATTTCATTCACTTCCTTGCCACCGGGTGGGGTGGAGGCTGCAGCGCACCGGTTACAGCCACCCGAGTGCTCGCTGCGGGCCGACGGCTCCGCGGAGACCAGGAGGCAGCACCCCAGTGTCTTGCCGAGGGCTGCGCGCTACCCGCTCGGAGCCCACGGACGTCGTAAGGAATCCTCAATTAGCAACATTCTTATCAGAAAGTTCAATCATTCATAGAATAATGAGCTATAAATCCAAGAGAAACTGTTTATATGCCATCTTGTCCAAATCCTTCTATTTAAATGGCTGATTTATTATCGCTTTTATTTGAGGCACATGTGACAGAAGATACTGCGGTGCTTCACAGTTTGAATTTTTAATGAAAAATTACATGGAGCCAGGGTGTTCTGAACCAATATTTTTAAGGGAAGAAATTTATCATTTTTAGACTGACTTTGCCTAATAAGGAACAGGTTAGTCTTAGGCAGCGAAGCTTGAAGAGTGAACCAACCAGCTGGGCTGGCTTTTTACTACCCTACAGGTATCTTTGTTCACGTTAGGGGAAAAAAATGCCTTCCTTAATACACTTCAGGACTCCATATGCTGAAAATTATCACCGTCTTATTGTATGTTAAAAAACAAGATGATTGGCTGCCGTGTACCCTGAACTTGTTTGAGTAAATACATAAATCTATCTTCCTGGGGTATAAACTGCGTGAAAGTCCTCATAACCACTCCCTGTCTGCAGAAAACCTCTTCTAGAACGTATGTGGTTAAGTCATTAACTACAGAGCCATATGCTGTATTAGTCAGACTGCTCTAACAAATCTTCGATTTTAGTGGCTCACACAGAATGGGAGTTTCTCTCTTCTGAGCAGCAATCTGGACAAGCGGTTGGCAAAGCATAGCCTGTGGGTGCATAGGCCTGGTGGAAGCCAGCTGAAATGTGGAACCCACACTGAAAGAAAGTCTGAAAAAGGTGGCCTGTGCTCTTCCTGAATCTCATACACACCAAAACACATTAGACGGGTCTTGGGATATCATCTGCCATGTATGATGTGGTGGACATTTGTCACAAATGTCAGTCTGGCAGAATCCACTCCGATATTGCACTTTACCAGTTCTAAGATGCACACTTTTCTTTTGGAATTAAACATCAGTGAACTTGGGTACTTCTTATCATCAGTGGTATCTTAGATTCTCCCTATTTCAGGGGACAACAGTCAGAAACAAAGGAGGAGAGGAAATGATCAGCAAATGCTGGCCATTACAATTATGAACAACCATAAAAAAAAAGAGGGGGATTCATGGAAGCTGTGACATTTGAGAACTATCTGGGCTTCGCACCATGTTTAGAAACTAGAAAGACAGATAACCATTATTTTTGTACCATAACGCACCAATATAGAAATCTGTGCATTTTATTATGCCTGTCATCTGCAAACACCAAATTCCAGCCATCGGCACCTGCACAGTGGTTGGCAAATCAAATCCCCAGCAACACAGTGGGAATACAACCTGTTTATTCCGAGACTGAAAACAATGTAAAATGATCATGAGGTAAGGTACAGGCAATGCTTACAGCAACATGAAACAACTGTGTTATATATTAACATTCATTTAAATGTTTATAAAAGACTCCACATCCGCTGGGAATTAAATAAATAAATGTGAACACAATGTGCAAAACTTTGTCACTATTCTTTAGCTATAGAGATTCGAATTTGTAAGAAGAAATGTATCTTCAAAAAAAGATGCTATTTTGGAAAGGCAAGGCATATACTTCCTACATAGCATGAGATAGCCCATTTTAAAGTTTTAGAGAGGCACTATTCTGTTTTGAGTCATCATTAATCATCCTGGATGGCATCTTTAGAGGTTAAGACTATCTCTTGTTGGTTCCTAAAATAGCCCCCTCCCTCCATCCATGTAGGGCAAGAGACAGACCCCTGTAGACTGGTGGGCGGCAGGCTTCAAGAACAAGGAAACTTACACGAGGCTTGTCTTGGGGGACCACAAGATGAGCAGCTCTCTGTCCCTGCTGGCCAAAATCTTAAAAGTTTATGCTGAGGCCTTGAGTCGGTTTGGTCATCAAATCCTGTCCCCGTGCTCTCAACACCTGACTCTCTCAAAGCTACATCCTTTAACAGCCCTGGAGAGGAGCGGTGGGTGGAACGGTCAGGTGCAGACACTTACCTTCCAAAAACGGGTGGGGTGAGGAGCCACTGACTGCCTGAGGCCAGCTGGCAGGTCAACCAGTGATCACATCCTCTTGATGGCTTCTCCCAGCACCTTTCAAAATTAAATCTTAAGAGGACTGACTTTTTTACATGCTCATTTTAATTGCATGAGTCAATAAACTCTGACTGAGCCTCCAGCACTTGAAAAGGGAAAAGAGACACAGGGCTTTGTATTCTGCACAAGCAAACACAGGATCACATAACAGACCCTTCACTGAACTCACTGTTAGGCTCAGATGCCTCCAATAGGTTCTACGGCACCCAGGTTTCGCCCATCAGAGAACTTACTAGCTGTTACACAAGTGCTGGATTTATTCTCTCCATGCCAGAGGGCAAGCCTCATTTCAGCCTTGTAATTTCTTCATCCCTAGTACCTGGCCCAGCATATACTCTACAAACATTTATTTAATAAGTTAATCATCAAATTGTTGAGCAATACTCCTGTGAAAAGAAACACTCAGAGTACTGAATTTCAAAATAGTCCTGACAATGTCTCTTGGGTGAAGGCGTGGTATCTTCCCTCAGGAAAGAAGGCAAAACTACAAAGTAGCTGAGTTGCTCTTTCATAGGAAAATCTTTTCTTTCAAATGTTTTTTTTTAATATTTCACTCTTAATAGAACATAAACACGAAAGACAGGAAACAAAAACATACCATTTAACAAGTCACATGGGACCTAGGTCAAGCCACAGAACGCTGCTGGGACCCCAGAAGTACCTCCACACCCCTCCACGCCCCAAAGCTCCTCCTGCAACACCCCTGGTCACCGCTCCCTCTGCGTCTTCTCCAGTAACCAGGCACCATCGTCCTAAAGTTTATGGGGATGATTTATATTTGTTTTACCATCTATGTTCTAATTCCTAAATTATCTAGGGTGATTAAATTCCTCTAAATAGTGATCTTCCTTTGTTCATCAAGATTAGGTTACAGTTAAAAAAAAGAAAAAAATAGATTATGGTTTAAACTTTTCAAGAATACATCATGCCTAGTGAGCAAAGCAAGTAATGGATATGACATGCTGGATCACAAAAAGAAAAAAGGCTTTCCTTATATTACACAAGGCAAAATAAAGTTTTATAAACATTGACCACTTTCATATAATTAGAAAAAGAACAGAATAAAAATAATTCATAGCAACATGTTTATTTAAGCCCTAGCTAAGCTTTCATGTACAAGCAGGTATTTTCAGGAAAAATGAAAGTCACAAGACAACAGTTTCAAATGTTACACTGTCTAAATAAAAGTGAAACTTGCAGAATTTACAAATTAATATTCTGAGCAGACAAAAATTATACATCCTTTTGTAAAATCCAATCTACAGCATTTAAAAATTCATACAGTTACAAAGTAAGACATTCTCTCTTTACAATCTACCTATTTACATAGCTTTTCCCACCACAGACACAGTTTTCATCATAGCTACCAAGTTTGCAAACATAGTGTATTTAAAATATATTTAGCAGCATATAAAAAATTAGGTAAAAGGGCAATGAAACACTACTATTAAATAAAAATCAAACTAAAAGGTGATCATAGAAACAACTCCATAGGAAAATAGATCAAAATATATTTCTGTTAGTTTCCCATCACAGAATGTATGCACTAACGAAACAATGTAACGGCATTTTAGTCCTGAGCACAGGATACAACACAGCTGCAAAACTTTGGTCAGTACAAGTAAACGTCAACATGTAACACAAACTGTTTAACATTCTTTGTTAGCAGATCAAGGTCAATTCCACCTTATGAAAAATCATCAACACTATTCCCATGATATTTTTTCCCATTACATTAAGAGAGCTTTGAAATTTGGGATTCTTCCACAGACTGATATAAATACAAGGCAAAGAGACTACGATTTGACTAACATTTCCGATATGTTTAAATACAGTAAATCATCTGAACAGCCTATACGAATGAGTTGACAGTGGGTTGCTTTCTATTCCAAGTGTATTTTCTGACTGTCACGAAAGCAGACATTTTATAATTCAAATACTTTGAGAGTGTTTTTTTATAGCTAGTCACGAAAACCCAGCCGCCATAAAAGTGCGAATCAAGCAGTATATCAGTTACAGGGCATTTATGTACTTAGAGATGTTAGTATTAAGCACACAGGATAGGACACAATTTTACTAGAAAAACACTTATATTCAGAAGCTGGATTCAGATATATTTTCCAGTTAATCCCATTCACAAGTTTTTGCCTAATAAATATAGGGTAACATTTTCCATGAAGAATATACAGAGTATTATCACAGTATTCAGTTTATGACTATCTTCATTCATGCTTAATTACTGGCAATGTCTTCCCCCAGATCTCCCGTGTCCGAGATTTGACCATCTTGTACATTGCGAGCCTTCCAAATTCTCACAGTTCGATCACTAAAAAAAACCAATAAATTAAAGTGAACATGAGTAAAGAGGCAGGAAGATAAAAAAACAGCTCCTAGAATTACTTATCATGGAAACATTTTACGAATAAGGTCTTTAACACATATAAGTAAAAATGGACCTTGTCTCACAGGCATATCTAACAGGCACCCATAATGATGACATTAAAAGTAGCTCATATTATAAGAGTGGGTGCCAGGCACTGTTTCTATGTGCCCTTTACATATATTGATGCATTTAATTGTCTCTAACTACCACAAGAGGTAGATGGTGCTATTATTCCCCTTTTCATTGATGAGCAAATTGAGGTGCAGAAGGGAAGTAATTTGCCCAAGATCACAAAGGAAGTAATAGAGCCAAGACTGGACTCCAGACAGCCTGGCTACAGGGCCCAATGTCTTAGCCACTCTACTGCGCTCATTACTACAGAAAACAAGGTGTGCCGTAACATATGGTCAGGGGCCGTCAGTCACAACAGCCCAGAGTCGGGACAGAGGGAGGCCTCTGGGAAGGAAGAGGGTGTGGGCAGGGGTGTCAGGGACTTGGTGAACCTGGAAGGAGTAAGGAAGAATTATGTGTGGATGAAATCAGCACAAACACACAGAAAAATCAAGAAGCTATTGGGAAGTGGATTAATACTCCACCTACCATAGAACATAAAATATACAAAGTGTTTTTTGTTCACCCAATATGTGGGTACTGAGGACCACTCTACATAATTACATTTCTTACCATGTCTCTTATGGCTTAAAGGGAATGTTGCTTTTCTCCAATTTCCTAATAAACCCAAAGCCAAAAGAAAGAGTTTCCATAGAGTTTAACAGTAGAAGGGACTTCAGAGATTACACAATCCATTTCAAGGATAAGAAGAATCTAGTGACTCGTTTACTAGGTAACACAGTAGAGGGCAGAGTGAAGCCTAGAACCCAGGCTTTCTAATTTTAATCCATAATCTTCTCACTGCTAAGAGTTCTCATCATGAGAAGAAAAAACAATATTTTCCTTTTCCTTTTCATTTTTGCATCTCTGTGGGTGATGGGCGTTAACTAAATTTATTGTTGTAGTCATTTCACAATCTAAGTCAAATCACTATGCTGTACACCTTAAACTTATACAGCACCATATGCCTATTAGATCTCAATGAAACCGGAAGGAAAATAGTAATCAATCTCAACTGCCTACATGGCACATGTTCATGAATAACAGCAAGGATGTATGTTTATTCATCCACTTATACATCTAAATCCATTTATTCATTTAACCATCCACTCAACAAGTGTTTTTTTTTCCAACAAATGTTTATTAAGAACTTGCTGTGTTCCAGGTACTATCCTAGGTGCTTAGGATAAATTACACATAAACAAACAGACAAACATAACCCTAAGCATTTTAGCAAAAGGAACTCGATAATAAACCATAATAAATAATTAAATTATAAAGTTTATTAGAAAGTAATAAATGTTATAGAAAAAGACAGACCATGGTAAAGGGGACTGGTGGATGGATGTCAGGTCAGGATGTCAGAAGGCAAAGCATTGCAGTGAAAGGGAGCAGCCAGGGCAAATGTCCTAAGGCAGTAGTGAACTTGGAATGTCTAAGGACCAGCAAAGAGGTTATCGAAGTTGCAAGAGAAAAAACAAGCCAGAGTACTTGAAAGTCAGGTGAGAGAGGTAATAGCTGCTCAGAGGGTCAGATCAAATACAAACTCTACTCCAGGTTAATGAAAGACTCCTGCAAAGTTTTGAGCACAGAAGGAATATGATTTGTCTCAGGAGACTTAAAACACTTCCATGTTGAGAACAGACTACCTAGAGGCAAGGGGCCTTGTTTAGGAGACTACTGTCATAATCCAAGGGCTGGCCATGACAGATCAGTGGGGTAGCAGAAGAAGTGAAGAGAAGTGGTCAGATTGAGGTACAGTTTAAAGGTAGAACCAACAGGATTTGCTGATGGATTAGACATGGAGTATGACAGAAAGGGAGGGATGAAGGGTCCTGGCCAAGCAACACAGAGGAAAGTGAAGTCATCAACTGAGATGGAGAAGTCTATAAAATGAGAAGTTTCTCAGGCAGATTGGGAGTTCAGTTTTGGACATATTAAGTTCAAGTGGACTGAACTTCCACTACTGGTCATAACAGAGCACCTGGTGCCAGGTTGGCTCTCCTAATGTAAACAAAATAAAAACTTAACAAAATACGTGGAACAAAACTTTTCCGGCCCCCAGCAATGGGTGGCGTGGGGCTGAGGTCCCTGAGCAAAGTGAAACAGGGAAGGTGAGCTCTGTGTCAGCACTGACTTCGGGCCCAGAAGCTCTTTCCAGACAACAGTACAGGAAGGGGCAATCTAAGCAGAGAACCACAAGACCACTGAGTTGGAGACCTAGAATTGAAAATCTGCGAAGTAGCTGGAATTTGTGAAGCCAAGTAGAAGAGAGAAGAGAGCTAGTCAGAAAGAACTACGGAGCTATGGGGAAAGAACTCCATAAATCTACACAGAGGGCCCATAACATCAGATGGGAGGCTAAGTTGCACAGGAAAGAGTAAGACTAAAGCCAGACAAAAAACAAACATTAGTGAGCTCTAAGTTGAGTGATTTCCAGAGTTCACAGAGGGCTATGAGATGTTTAAGTTCTGATCAGCAAAGTAGAGTTATCATCAGACACTCAGAATATTTGGTAGAAATATAAGAGTTAAAAACAAGTCTCAAAAAGATGAAGCCACACCACAAGTAACTTAACTGCCTGACAAGAGCCAACAGTCTTTAAAGGAATACAATGGAATCCAGATACTGAAAACACATTATAATATTCAACATCCAGAAAAACATTACTTGACATAAAAGAAACAGAAGAAGTGAAACCCATCATTATTAAAAAAAAATCAATCAATGGCAACAGATCCAGAAATATCAGATAGGATAAATTCTATACAAGGACTGTACAATTTACTATACAAGGGTTTTACAATTACTATACAGGTTATGAACTGCCTCAGTTTCAGCACCTTAATGAATTAAGTCTTCATAAGCCTTATGAAGCACTTAGAACAATACAAATATTTTCTTTAAATAACAAATAAATTAGTAGTACTAATTTGAAAAGAGGCCTTTTCATTCTATTGGCTATTTTTCTATTTAAAGTTATATAGTAAATATACTACCATCTAATAGACTATGGACAAACTGAGAAAAAGTTCAGGTCTTCAAAAATAAGACACTACGATGGAAGAGAGGCAAATACAATCAATCACACCTCACCCACCAGACCACAGTGATACAGGACACTTCTGTGGTCCTATACTGAGAGTCCCGCAGCTCTGCAGGGGTTTCATCATCCTCAGTAAATTACCAAGGGGCACAGCAAGTTTTCAAGGGAATACACAAAGGTGGTGGCTCTTCAAGCGATGCGTGGTAGAAATAGCATTAATGAAGGTGAGCACTTTAGAGATGAAAAAAAGTAACTCTAAATAAGAAGAGGGACTTGACGGAAACAGCACAAATTATAAGAGATACCCCAGAAACATAGCAGGGGTTTCAAAACGAAATCAGGGTAACCATGCATTTAGAATAGACAAATCAAGAAGGTGCTCAAATTAAATTAAGTAACATGACTGATGCACAAGTGACCTAAGGAGATTTTCAAGACAGATATTCACAAGAAACTGCATTTTATTTGGATGAGACCAAGGCCTCACATTGTAGTGCATACGATCTCCTTTCCTGGGTCCTTAGACATACGATGCCATTTTGTATGGTCACATCTCTCCACTTCATTCAAGCATCTTCTTCAATGCCACGTTCTCAATGAGCCATCACAGCCCACCCTATTATGTAACCCCTGCCCCATGATATTCTTTTTTAAAAATATACTTTATTTTTTTAAAGATTTTATTTATTCATTTCCAGAGAGAAGGGAAGGGAGGGAGAAAGAGAGGGAAAGAAATATCAATGTGTGGTTGCCTTTCATGCACCCCCTACTGGGGACCTGGCCCACAATGCAGGCATGTGCCCTGACTGGGAATCAAACCAGAGACCTTTTGCTTCGCAGGTTGGCACCCAATCCACTGAGCCATACCAGCCAGGGTGCCCTATGATATACTTATCACCCCTTCCCTGCTGTATTTTTCTCTATAGCACATACCATGATTTAACATATTTCACTTATTTATTTTCTTGTTTTCTCATTGGAATCTAAATCTTGGTTTGGGTCTGTTGTGCTCACTTTTCTATTCCTAAGGGCCTGGGACAGTGCCTGGCACAGTGGAGACTCATCATGAACGAATAAGAACAAATGAATCAGTCAACCCAGCCTCCATAAGAAGGAGGTAGCAGATGTTTTTATTATGTACTTATACTTTTAAAGAAGGTAGAATGGGCCTTAAGAGATATTTTGAAGACTTGTTCAAAATGTACAGAAAAGCAAGTTTGTTGACCTTCTGGAGAAAAAAAAATAGAAATCAGTCATCTGGAAGTAAACTTCTTGGTATGAGCAGAGTGGTAATACAGGAAAAACGCTGTTATGCAGGCTGGGGAGCCTAAACTCAGTACCCGCAGTATACATCAGAAAACATGAATAAGACATCTTTGGGGGGGTATTGTATTTTTCCATTACCATTTAGTTGCCTTCTAGCCTCCTCCTCTCCGCAATCACCCCACAGCTGTCCGTGTCCTTGAGTCCGTTCTCCTTTTTGCTCAATTCTTCCACCCCCAACCCTCTCCCCAACCCTTAGCTGTCATCCTGCTCTGTCTATGAGTCTGTCTCTATGTTGCTTCTTAGTTCAGTCCACACATCTTAAGGCAGACATACAAGCAGACATGAGAATCACTATAATAAAACGTGAATTTCAAAGTTTTCATGTTCTATGTTTCCAGATATTTACAACTTATTCATGAAATCTGAACACCAGTAGCCAATATAGAGAAAAATCACATATGTAAAACTTACTCAGATGCAGTGAAAATGTGGGTGGAATTAACACATATGGCATTGATAGGACTATCATGACCCTTCATCTCTCCGACTGGCACAAAAGTGTCCATGTCCCAGAGCTTCAGAATGCCCCCTCTGCAGCCGCTGAGCAAACCTGGCTGGCCTGGCACCACTCCCAGGGCACAGACCCAGTCCTTGTGTGCATTCGGGACTTGCTGAGAGAAAACAGAGAAACCAGAAGCTTAAGAGGAGCCTTCCAAATGTAGATTTTCACACCCAAAAAAGTTACACTTTTATGGACAAAACTCAACTTTTGGAATGTTGAATGACCTGGAAATTGTGAAAATTATTTTTCTAAGCAATCACTCTTAGGGACTTAAAGGAATAAATTTGTACTTTGCTTTCTAATGTGCCTAATTGCCATCAGTGTTATCAGTGTCAAAGGCCTATAATGTTAAACATCTATAGAATCTAACAAATCTGGAAAGTATACAAAATTTTCAAGCCTCACATCCTCTTCACAGGTAGTAAACATCTCACCTTCTCAAAATGTATGGAACACAACAAGTCTGAACACAACAGCCTGGTATGCAGACGCTAAGGACTGCCTCAAAAAACAGTGCTTCGAACTTCTGGTAAAGAACATGGAGGCCTAAAGCTCTTTGTAGAAGACTGGAACTAACCTGTATGTTTATAATTAGTGGACAGTAATTATAAGATCGGACTGTATAACTATCTTTTAGGCACAAATATTTTTATAGACACAATATAGATATCACATCATGAACTATAAAAGCTTGTGAATGCAATACAGGCACCTGTTGCCATTTTTTCTATTAATATTCATGCTACTTGTTCATTTTGGTTTTATTGCATCACAACCAAGACAGTGGTAGCAACTGCAATACACACACCTGTACATGTGCAGGGGAAAGGTTGAAATTGAGAATAATTTCACCTGTTAACTAATTTCTTCTCCTGGGAATTAGAAGACACCAATACTCCAATGTATTGACAAAACACTTCAACCCAACCGCTGTTCTACAGGAAATGGGAGAACCATCACTTTTGGATGCACGAAGGTATAAGGTGAAGAATCACCTGCACTACTTTGACTTTAGCTAAATTTGGTTCTCTATGAAATATGTGTACCTAAAACAAAACAAAATAAGCAACTGTAACTGCTTTACTCCAAGACTAGTTTTATTTCATGTGCATGAGACAATGCCAGATCTTTCAACTTCTACCAGTGTCTACTGTCCCCTGATCTATGAGGAATTAAGTGTTGACTGTTGTCCTTCTCATAGTTAGTAACTCAGGTGGGTGACAATGAAACACTCCTGAAGAGGAAGCCCTCATTAATATTTTCCTAAACAATGAAGATCTACATGGAGGCTCTTCAAATTCTTACATGGACTACTAAGTGGCTCTGAAGTACCCACTCCACTCCATGAAAAGGTTCTACGTTACCTGCAGAAGGTCTTTTTGTGCTAAGTCCCATTTCTTGATTCCATTATCTCTGGACCCACTAAACAAGTTATCCCCTTGTATGGTTAGAGCCTCGATGCCATCATAATGAGGCGGCTCAAAATTGTGGGTGGGACTCACGGTTCCAAGAGCTCCTTCAGTTACATCGAACATCTAAAAAAGGCAGAAAGAAAGCAGTAGTTATATTTAACTTAAAATAAACACGTATGTGTGTTCAGTCACAGCAACACATGCACATGTGTACTAACCAGATACAATTTGTTTTTTTAGAGCATCTTCTCATTAGTTAACTAAGTTAACCTGATGTGAACCACTCAGGATGAACCTGCGTCCTATGTGCACAGTACTTTTGCTTACATGTCACATGTGGACTTCTAAGAAAGGAAATAAATTTCTTCATGTACAAGTATACAAAAGATATGCTTACTAATAAAAATACTAAATATCAACCTAGTTAAAATTCAAATAAATGATGTGATTGTTATTTTAACACTATTAGAAAGCTCTGCAGCCCTGGTAGTCATCTCAAATTGCCCTAACATTTTATTTTAGTACAAAACACTTCAACCCAACCGCTGAAACCTTTCCCTTATTTCAAAAATTTTCGCTCCCCTCATTTGCCCTCATCTCTCTAAGCTGTTGATCTGGCGGGTTCCTGAAAAGGTCAGCATGATTGGTAGTATATATTTTGGATCCTTTTCTACATTTCAAAGTTTCCTTTTATCTTTAAATACTCTCTTGTCCTTCCCTTCCTTTCTGATGCTAAAATGAACTTACTTCTTCCCAAGTTTCACATCTCTGATCTGATTCTAACTCTTTCTACCACCTTCATCGACTGTCATTTCATTCTCCTCCTTAGCTTTTCTTCTCCACTGAGCCCATTTCCTAAGCATATAACCACACTCAAGTCTACTAAATACAAAATCTTCTCCCCTTATGTCATTCTGTTTTCTTTTTTAAGTTTTATTTATTTTTATTGTTGACATTATTGCTGATGTCCCCATATCCCCTGCCCCTTCCTCCCAGTCCCAGCAAACCCTTCCCTCTGGCCACCATCACACTATTGTCTGTATGTGTATATATGTATAAATGTAAATGTATACATATGTATGTGTGCACACATATATATTTCTTTGGCCAATCCCTTCACGTTTCACCCAGCCTCCCCAGTCTATTTTCAAGCCACCTGATTTTCTCTCTTAACCAAAGCTTCTGCAAAGAGTACTCACACTCTGTCTCCTGTACTGTGTCCCCTTTTTACTCCTATTGGTTCTCATAGGTATTCCCCAAGGCTGGGTCCTGTCAACTTCTCTCTCCTTTGCCCATGTCATTCTCTAACTCCCTGAGCATCTGCTTCTATCTGAATGGCTGCCAAACCCTCATGTCTAGTTATAAGTCACCATGAGCTCTGGACTTGCCTTTCTAATAGCCTGTGGGCCTCCATGAAGATGTCCTCTGCTAGTATCCCACATTTAACATTTCCAGAATCAAACTATACATTTTCCTCACCTTATCTCCTAATTTTATAAATCTGAAAACCATAATATGCATAGTATAAAAGATGGTGAAAATGAGACTTAAGTATTAGTTGGGTGACTGAGTTCAAATCTTTAAAATCCCTCCCAACCTATCTTCTATCAAAAATGAGAATACATCATTAAATAAGATGATAAAATCAGGAACTCTTTAAGAAACAAAAGATAAAGAAAAAAGCAATGGCTAAAAATAGTGAAAAAAAATTTGATTAAGAGAAAGGGTGAATGACTTTGAACGCTTCAGAACGTAACTCAGCAACTCCCTCACACGTACTTTGATGTAATGGTCCTTGGAGCCGGTGACGATCAGGTCTTGTCCACTGGAAACCTGGTCTACAGTAAGGCACATGACAGGGCCCAGGTGTCCCGTTAACTTTCCCGTAGACTGAAACCTTTAAAAAGAAAGAAAAATAATTTTCTTTGAAAATATTTCTCAGCATGCTAGGGCCAAGCTTCAATATAAATAATCTATGTTCTTTAATAAAATAGTTCGCTAACATATTTTTTATTTTAGCTCCACCACTGTGCAACTGTGTTCAAACTAGAGTTTTTAAAAATGGCCAAACTGATTTATTCTATAATGGAAGTGGAAGAGTTCTAAAGAAGTTATTCCGAAGCTGACTGATGTCATTTAGGTAATAAACAAAGAGGAAATAAAAGTCCAAAAAATGGCAAGTGACTAATATTAACTCCAACCTGAGTGCAGATAAACCTCAATCTGTTAAATGTCCAAACATGTGCTACACATATGACTGATGCTATTAGGTCCAAATGAGACTGATTAAAACAACTATGTCACTAATGTAACTTACTTGATCAATAACACAGTGAAAATGAGGTTATTTTATTAAAGACACAAATACTCTCACATATACAAATACACATACAAGCACTCATATATACACACATATACATACATACACCTAATGCACACACGAGTATATATGTACATTAGAAAACAGGTGGTACATTTCATCAGTTATTAGAAAGATATGAAAATGACCAGAACATATATCTGGCTGGTAGAGAAATGTATGATGTCAATCGATAGGGACTGACAATAAATCTTTGTTTCACAGTCCTACCTGAAATCAAACTGCCAGAAGACAGAGATGTCTTTGGCTTTCAGGGTATTTGTTTCTCAAAAACTATTCTCTTAGTTACTTGGTTAAGATGAATCTATATTTAATCATGTTGCTGAAATCAACCAGGTTTCACACAATCTAACTTTTCAGCAAAATAAAACAGTGTAAAGATTTTCAAAAGCTGGTACCTTTCCTGCCTCATGTGTCACAATCGGACCCCTTTCTTCAATGGTGGCCCTAATGCGTGTCAAATTTAACATCTTCAAAAATAAAGCAATTCCTCACTTTTCCAATATCCTTCAATAGCACTCTTAAATTTTCTACATTTTGCTTCTAAAATAGCAACAGGACAGTGGTTCCTCTCTTCTTCTCCCTCATCCATCTATAAATGATGCTTATTATCCTTTCTCAGTCATCTGTTGAAACATTATAACTAGTTATTCCCAAACTTTCTCAAATAAATATCTCTTTATCCCTTTTAATTACCACTGAGCAAGCCCTTCTACATTGGGGGTACCCTGTACTGCCCCAATTGAAACCTTGACTCAGCATCCTGTAACTGCCGGTTAACTGCCTTTATCCTCCACTGTAACATGAGCTCTAAGGAGGCAGATACCACACTTGTCTGGCGTAGTTTTCTTCCCCGGAACTGACACAGTGCTGGGGCAGTGCCTGCGGCGACTGATGTTGAGTGAGTGTCTGTTAACTAGTAAGTGAGTATGCCATTGCTGCCCCGTGTTAAGAACTAGAAAAGACACTAAAACACTCAACGGAAAGATAAAAGCTCATTGTTCATGGCATATGAAAATCCAATCAAAGATGCAATGACTTACATTTCAATGTATCAACCATTTTTGTCTTTGGAGCCACTTTACCTTCTTCATACATTCATACATACACCCACACATACACACACATATATATTTCATATTCACAAAAACCCTTTAAGGTTTTATGCCCACATTTGTTCAATTAAGTTTACAAATGGAAATATTGGAGATAATAAGAAGTTTAAATAATGTTGCAAAAAGTAATTCTTTCAAAGGTACTGGTAAAACTAGGGTGAGGATCCTGATCTATTTCCAGCAAACAACACAATCTGTAAACAAATATTTTAAAAGGCTAAGGTTTCAATTCCATTTTCCTTCATACACATTTTCCCAGGCAATGCAATTGAAAAGAAAGAAACCTGTGAGTTTACTAATGAGAGCAAAAGAGGCTCTTAAGGGTGTTGAGCTGAACAGAAAAGCCTATGATGTTTACATTAATTTCTGGGTTATAAAAATTGGGTTTCACATGCATAGTACTGTCTGAAAGTTGTATTTTCCATATGTAAGAAACACATTTTCATCGGAATTCTACCTTTTAAGATCCCACATTCTGACAGCATTTCCAGAAGCTGCGTAAAGAAAAGTGCCAGTTGGGTTCAGTGCAATCTGATTGATCTGGTTCTCCCCAGAAGGAATAGCTACTGTCCGGCTGGTACTTGCAGAACAAGCATCTCCAAGGGAAACTTGGCCTGAAGATCTTAACAGAGACAGAAACAAAGAAACAAAAAAGTCACACATTTCGCACATGAGTTCAGCGTAAAGCTCCTTGAATCTCCAGGAGACCTGCTATAAGCAACAAAAGATCCGTGCCCTATTTGGTCACCGTATGCACAGAACCGAGGATGGCACCTCACTGGCACTTCAAGTGTTTTGAATGAATAAAACCAGATGACACAGCTTAAAACTCTTAATTTGCAATCCTATTATAAAGCTAAGGAATTATAAGCCCTGAGTCAGGAATGATTAAGTTATCAGAAAAAATTATGTGACAAAGATTTTTTTAAAGAAAAAAGGTAATTCATTTTCCTGCAGCTTCCAGAAGCCCCCTGAGGGCCAGACCAATCGATATCCCTTTTGTGTCTGAGATATGTCTGTTTCTCCCTGACTGGTGTGGCCCAGTTTGTGGGGCAATGTCCTGCAAAGTGGAAGGTCCACAGTTCGATTCCCAGTCAGGGAACATGCCTGGGTTGCATGTTTGGTCTGCTCAGGGCATATATGAAAGGCAATCAATCAATATTTTTCTTACATTGATGTTTCTCCCCTTCTCTTTCTCCATCCCTTCCTCTCTCTTTAAAAATAAATAAATAAAGTTAAAAAATTGTTTCCTTGTATTAAAGACTCTGAGGACTTTTAAAATTACTTCCAGTGTTTGTTCACTTTAGCCCACTCACACGCAGTATTTACCATGTGCTAAAAACTCAAACAAAACTTATTTCTACTTCCTTGGATAAATTCTAAATGATTAGTATGTTTTTAAATTTTGAAACACCTTCTCAACTAACTTCTAAAATATCAAGTTATAAACAATCTTTTCAAATTTGACTTTAGGGAGTTAATTAAATTGGTAATTTTCTAACATCTTTTTAAATAAAATTTCCTTCAAGAGACTTGTATACAGTATGATAAATAATTAGTATTCCTCCAAATAAAAATGAATAATTAATGGCTAATAATCCCTGCCTTACAAATTATTAATCCCTATTCTAAATCCCTAATTTTAGTAAAAATGAACCTTTCCTATGCTCCCTTCTCTTATTTAAACCAGCAAACTTCACCTCCATTTCAATTATAAAATAGTTCATCAATCTTATGGCAAAAAGAATCATTATTTGCTCCACATTTTAAAGACACACATAATAACAGACACAGAAAACAAACTCATTCTCCAACTGTCTACTATGACCTGCAGCTATAAAATGTCTGCTAATAACAAAGCAGTAAAAGTTCATTTCCCTCAATAAACCTATCGATTATTCAATACCTGCCAACTGAAGAGTACAGATACTTCTTAACTGTCTACAATGGTGATTTACACCATTTTCCAGGGAGTGGTAATCATTTGAAGCAAGCAACATAAACCATTTAACCACATCAAATAGCATATGATTTATCCCTTCCTGTTTGGTATTGAGCCCTCATATTTTATTTTCTCAATAGCTTTTTACCCTGGGTTCTTATTGTAAACATTACCGCATCCTTTTGGAAGTGGATAGGTATAAATAAATAAAAATGCTTTGATAGCGCTATCTTTTCTTGTGTTTTCTTACGCTACTCGTCCTTAAATTACTTACGTCAGCGTTCGAATGCATTTGGCCGAGTCTCTGATATCCCACACCTTAATATAAGATGTCGACACAGTGAAGACCAGACTTGTATAATTACAGTATTTCACAGATACGACATTGTTGGGATGGCCTCCCAGCGACATTATCTCCTGTCCGGTCACCAGATTCCACACTTTACACGTACGATCTAAAACAAATAATTGAAAAAGGGGAGACACTGTCAATATAAACTAAATTGGGTTCTCTTAACAATAAAAGTTATTTAAACAAGTTCTCTCCTATGAGAAGGAAATGCAGTAGGAAAAACAGTAATGATTCCATCAATCTGCCACAGGCCTCCGGCCTCCATCCCTAACCCTCTGCAGCAGGTTCAAGGGCAAAGTAGGTGTAAAGGACTAGACAAAAGCCAGAAGACTGGTTGTATGCATTATGTGGTATTAAAAATCATTATATCAAATTCTGAAATACTCTCACCAAACAAGTGTTGCTTCAAATGGCCCAGATTTAACATGGCCATCCCAAACCAGCCTCTTCCTGCTGATTCACGTTCTACCCTGATCACGTCTCCACCCCTTCAAAACACACCACATGCATAAACACAAACACCTTTCTTTTCCACGGGTCACAGCATGATAGATTTAATTTTGATGCAAAAACTCTAAACATAGAACTATTCTACTTTGTTTTTCTGATATGTTGACTATCTAATTATCCCGTAGAGAGAGATTTAATTTGAATCATTAGAAAAGGGTATTTCCCCAGAGCAGATTATCTTTACATAGGGAACTATTTGCCATTATTTACAGTTCATAAGTTCTAGCTGGATTCTTATACATCTCTCCACAGACAATTAAGCAATCAATGTGTTCTGATTAAACTGAGTCTTGTAACATACCTGAATACTAAGTAACTTTTACTAGCTCCCCAAATTACGGTATGTGCTTCCTTTCTACCTTTCTAGCTGCACTGTCTACTTGTTTCTTTTACACATACTCCACTAGTCAACCCAATTGGACTTACTTTCAAACACATCCCAGTTTTACCTCCATGTCTCCACTCATGTTGTTCTGTAATCTTGGTTGCCGATCCTTACCTATCGATATTCAAACCATCTTCCAAGGTTCAATGCATATGCCTTCTTGTTAAAGCTTATTTCCTACAGCTTGCCAAATCTCTCCCTTTTCCAAAACCCCAAACTCTTGGGCCAGAATGATTCAAAGCACACACAGTTAATTTCTAGCTACCTACGATCGTACCAAAGGGGTTGAGTGCAGGTTTGGAGATGAGTGGACCTGGATTTCCAATCCTGGCTCTTCCACTTACTAGCTGAATCTTTCTGGGAGAATTATTTAATTTATTGAATCCTCAGTGTCTTCATTTGTAAAACGAGGATGCCAAATGTATGTCATTGGGGTTGTGGTGAGAATTAAAGATATAATTCTATACTGTCTAGAGATATAGTTTCTATAGTGTCTAGCATAATCTCTGATATACAGTAAGTATTCAAGAAATGGTAGTTGGTACCCATCTTATTTTCTTTACCACACTCTACATTCTAATGGCCTTTTGTAAATTTTTAGGTAAACTGCACCTCTAAGCTCAGGGCTTGCATCTGGGAGATGGAGTCTCTCAAGGGTCTATTTACATAATATCAACAGTGATTTTCCATACTTCCTGACTATGAAATGATTATACAGTTTACACAATTCAGGGGTTGAACCACATTCTCAGATTCCTAAAGGTTTTAAGCAGATTCACTTTTATTTTCAAAGCTTGTTAAAAATGTAATCATTTTTAAAAAGAATCTGTTAAATAACCCCATGAAACAACTCCCAGCACCTTTTGATCCAGTGAAGAGGAGATCGTCGGTGGAATCCACACACAGCACGGCTTTCGTGTGCCCTTCAGCTACGTGAACACACTGAAGTGCAGAAGCTCTGATTCCTTTCGAAGCAGGAAATGGGTTGATTATGCCCCTGAAGTGGGGGGGGGGAAGACAACTTCAGTAGTTATATTGTGAAACTAATTTTAGTTTTTCTCTGACTTTAGTAAGTCTTTCTAAGTAATTAGTAATAAAATCATAGTGCTCCCTCGTCTCTTTTTAAAGCAAAAGGACAGTGACAACGTGTGAAACTGCAATAGTAGTGATGGAGTGCATCAACAATTAGGCACCAGAGAGCAGTGGCATTCTCCAAAGAGCAAAGCCTGCAATACATTTGGGCTCTCTTATTAACAATTTCATCTCTTCTAAGTTTAATGAGGCAATATGGGGAGCTGTTTCAGTGTCATGAATTCTGGCAAATAAAAACGTATACATCATAATAATGGGAAGCTGTGGTTCTATCTCATGCGAGATTTTTACTCTATGTCAAAAAGAACATCCTTGAGAATGTATAACACATACCACCTAAAAGACTAAGAAAGCAAATTTCAAACAAGTCTGAAAAAGAAAGGATAAGACTGAATGGACAGAATTCTAAGGCGAGAATGGTTCACACATATCAAAAATTTAAAGAAAACACTCAATCTCAAAGAAGATAAAAGGTTGAGAATTTAAAAGAACAGTGAGGTTCTGTAAGGATATTTCCCATAAGCTTAATGTTCCTGGAGTTTCTGCTTTATGCTACTGGTCTAAGAACTCTGGAAATTCACAGATTATCAAAACATTATTCTTATTCTTAAAAAGTTTCATTCAACCCTGGATGGTAGCTCAGTGGTTGAGTGCTGGTCTGCGAACCAAAGGGTCACCAGTTGGATTCCCAGTCAGGGCACCTGCCCGGGTTGTAGGCCAGGTTCCCATAAGGGTTGTGCAAGAGGCAACCAACCAGTCATTGATGTTTCTCTGCCTCTCTTTCTCACTCCCTTCCCCTTTCTCTAAAAATAAATAAATAAAATATTTTTTAAAAAGTTTCAGGATGTGAACTGAAATAATTGTGTCAGGAAGATTAAAGATAAATAAGAATTAAGATGTGATAAATACATCAGTCAGATGTATCTTTGCTTTGAGCAGGAAGAAAAATTATGTTGAAATATGTTCATTACTCAAGACAGATGGCATAATATTAAGACAAATACAGGGATTTAAAAAATTTGTTTCTTTCTTCTTGATGAAAGAAAACAAACTTTAAGATACACAGGACAAAAACGACTAAGAGGAAGTATGAAGCCAAGCTAAGTAGAGCTAACAATGGAGACATTTGATAAGTTCAAGTATTTCAGTTTTTGAAGCATTATATCACAGGTGTTTGAAAGGGTGTGCCATTGTGGTGACAAAAATCAATGGAGCACCTCCACAGGTACTCTAAGCGGATCAATAAAGAAGGCAAATCAGACAGACCCAATTCCAAAAATTAGGAAAAAAGTGGATTTCAGAAATTACGGATGAATAAAATAATTATAAACACACACAAAAAGGCTCATCAATGAGAGATAACATGAGCTTATTGATCTCATGAAGGAAGTTCTTTATAGGGTTACTAGGCAACGAAACAAGGGAAAGTCAGATTCATACTATATATGTTGACTCCCATGAGGCTCAGACAATAAGCCTTTCCAATGATATCCCTGTGAACATGGTGGGTTAGTGTGAAACTGTTGTGGTAAGGTAGTTTCATCGGTGTTCACAGTAACACCTAAGGAATCAACGTTCTTATCGGCCCGAAAGGAGGTCTTCAAAACCCAGTCTATTTTTTTATAGCCCGAAATACAGAAATAGTATGTTTATTAAACTGATACATTATAAAGCTGGTTACTATGTTGTATTGCCTAGAAAAATGATTGGAACAAAATTCATTTGTTGTTAAGTGCATACTTAGGATGAAAATAATAATTGAATAAAATTTAAATATAAAATTTAAGTCAAAGTTATAACAGAATGCTTGAAGAAGGAAAAGGGCTTAATGGTAGGTTATATTTAAAACTAAAACAATTTACTTATTGAATACAAGATCAATGGATTGATAATGAATGGTTCTCCCAACACTTTCAATGACCTGCTCAACTGAAGTAAATATTTCAGGAGAAATAAAGTGATAGAGCTACTGTATTCTTCTGAGACCACATTTGGAATGGAGTTGAGTTCCAGATGCCACATCTTAAAAGCATTGAAAAATTAGACACCTTCTAAAACAGCAGACGCGGAATGAAGGGTCTGTAGACCATCTCACATGATGAGCAGAGGATGAAACTAGACCTACACAGATGATGAAGGAACATTCATTGGAGAGCACACGACAGCTGTGTGTATAAAGAACTGTGCCATACACAGAAAAAGAGGCATTGGGTTAATTCTGGTCCAGCTCAAGAGGACTGATGAAAGACCAATGAATAGAAATTTAAAGGAGATAAATTTAGGCTTAGTATTAAAAAAAACTTTATTTTTAGGGTCAAGTACAATGATTTCAAAAAGAAAAAGAAGCTCTGCATCCTAGAAATGATATCAGGAATTGTTATCACTAGATACATTATTTGGGTACATGTGTCAATTTGAGAATCTTGAAATTAATGCTCAGTAACTTGTTTGTATAGGAATTTAAACAGATTACAACTGAATGGGAGCAAAATGTCCCCCAAAGCCTGAATCTGACATTCTGAAATCCCATGTTCTGAAATCCTCCTGCTGATGTGAGGCTATTAGCTATGATCTGATGCCATCAAACTAATGCTTCAAATGTTCAGAGATGTGATGAATGCTTGGTTAATTGCTACTGTTACACCTCAAACAGAACATATATGTATGTATATTCAAACGAGCTGACTATAAAGAAAAAAATTCATGGTAACAGTCTAAGAACAGTTTTTGATTTGCATTTAATGATACCAATCATCCTAAGGAAAAAAATCAGTAGCCTCAATTGTGAGGTACTATGTCTCCAAAAAATTTTCTTTCTTTAAATTATCGGTTTATCCTTAGAATTTATTAAATACCATCTTCCCCGATGGTATATTGAGTTGGCCAAAAAGTCCATTTAGTTTTTTCTGTAAGATAAAAGACATATTTCTCAATTTCACCAATAACTTTTTTGATTTGGATATTTTGAGTATGTTAACTACCTTCCATGTGGTATAATGCTGATTGTTCTCAATTAATGTCTCAATTTGATCACTATCCACTTCAACTGGTCTACCTAACCATGGAGCATCATTCAGTGAGAAATCTCCAGCTGGAAACTTCATAAACCACTTTTGACACATTTGATCAATCAAAGCACCTTGTACGTACACTGCACATTTTTTTTTTGCATTTCAGTGTTTTTGCCTTTCTTGAAATAACAAAGCATAATATTCTGAAAATGTTGCATATTCTCTTCCCTCTCTGACATTAAAATAACTATATAATAATTCACCAATTTTGATTTTTTAAATGCAAGCTGTAACAATACATTCTAACAAATTTTTTTGAATGAAGTTAAAGACAACTAAGTGCTACTAGAGCCATCTTATAGGGGAGAAAAAAACAAAGTTTTTGGCCAACCCAATAACATCCAACACAACTTTGTGATTCAAGAATGTATTCAATGTTCCCCTGTCGCAGAACACCAGTACCATTTTGTCATGTCCAAGGTTGTCCCATCACAAAAGTGTTGAGGAAACAATTCCCACCAGTGACTTAAGTACAACACAGCCCCTGGGGGACACCTTCATTTGTATGTGTTTTACTATCATTGATTATTCACATTTCTGAAGAAAAACAATTATAACATTAAATATAGCATTTTATTAATTAGATACCAAAAATGCTCTCAAATATTCACGCTACAGAATATAGAAACTGCACTATGGAAATACAGAAATTGGAAACATACATCCCTTGTATTTTTTCTATTAGGATTAATCTATTCACATTCTGAAATATAAAAATCAACCTTAAAATAGTGGAAGCTAAGGATAAATTTTGCAAATTTGTAAACTAAACCTTACTAAAGGGGAAAAAGAAACAGGTAATACTGTGAATGAGAGTAACTGCACCGCTGTCCCCCTGCCTACCTTCTGGAGGATCTACTGATGATCAGCAAAATGGCCATAAAACAGGGGAAACGAGTGCAAAAGAGAGAAGACAAATGATAAGTGTGAAGAGAAAATGATAGAGAGGAAGAGAGAGAAATTAAGGGTTCAAAAAGATCCATAACATGAAAAAATGCAACTCTTATTTTAAAAGTAGCATAATCAGTAGAAAATACTTATTTTTTTTTAAAAAAAGCTCTTCTACACTCTATTTCTTCCTATAGTTTGTTATCATAATATCCTTTCATTCTAGCATATCTTTATTTTGAATAAGAAAATGTGCCATAAACTCTTTATTTCAAATTGCTAAGCAAACAAGAAAAAATAATCGTATTCACCCTCCCACACTCTAAGGTATTGGAAATAAAAAAAAACTATTGAGGAGTAAACTTTCTTGAAATTGGTATTCACAGAACTTAATTACTTCTAAAGAAAAAAATTAGATCACATATAGAAAACAAATATGACAATTTTTTATGTTATTTTACAAGAAAAGTTAACTACTACTTTGTCGAAAATGTACATCATGAAATGTTAAAATTAATATATTTTAAAATATTAGTGCATTTATATGGTTTACAATTCGCTATACATGCAACAAGAATAAGACTTGCTTAGAGTTTCTAGAAAGGCTAGAACATCATGAAATGCCAGAATATAGAAAAGGTAGAAAGAAAGTACCTGTGTACCTCCGACAGAGAGGAATCACTTTCATCAGACCTACAGTGAAAGAGTTAGAGTTATGAGGAGAAAGAATGCAGATCAATAGATAAAGACACTGAGATTGAACTGAAAATCAACAGTATGAATAATAGAAATACAGCAAACACTTCCTTTATACTGCCCAACTTTTCTATTTGCACTGGATATCAGCAAATTCAGTAAACTATTTGATTCTTATCATATCTACCAAGACTTCAGGGCAAAAAAAAAATTCTATTACTGATCCACAGAATCTATCTACCCTTACTTCTAAAATTTAGGTCCTGAAGAGGAATAGTATCAAATAAGTAAAATATATCACTTCAAGATTCTTTCTATTTCATTGACTTGTACCAGAGAAAATTTTCCATTTCAATAACTATTCATGCATTTTATTCATCCTGATAACTACTTTAGATTTGTGCTCTGATGTGGCAGTTGCAAATATATATTACATGTTTGAAAGGGAAGCAAACCACTCATAATTTAATAATCTTTGATTTTAACGTAATAGGGAGTGGTGTGATGGAGTCTCTCATTAATAGCTGGGGAACTTCAGAGAGATTTAAAAATAGGTGATCCACCCCTATCAGCCTTATCCTAAAACCTTCAAGGCTGGCGGTGTGGCTGGTTACTATGAAAATCTACTTAGCTTGCCTAATAGGACTGGGGAGAATGAGGACAGTGTGAGTACCGCTTACAGGGGATGTGACTGGAAAGAACTGGAAGGATCCACGTGTCACTGGTGAAACATACCAGCCTCACAAAGGAGCCCAAAAGAAAGTAATTCAAAAGGTGGGTGAGTTTTTGAAAGTGTAAAGTAGTCAGTTATTCTCAGGGTTAACTTTCAGAAATGACAACACAATCGGATTATTGGTAGTTGATAAAACATTTTAGTAAAAAGTATGAAACTATGACGAGATTGTCAAGATTATCCAAACAGTGACAGAACATTTTATGACTGAGTGCAAGGTCAAGAAAATAGTAATTCTTCATATCACTAGTGAAAATGGGCTTCCCAAAAACATACCTAATGTTCTGCTCTTTTCTCCCTTAAATGAGAGCTGTGGTGTGACAATGTGAGAGTCTTTTTCAGTAACATACTGCCATGATATTCACCTATCTAGATCAGTTTGAAGGACATGTGAGTAGCTGATTCAACTATATTAAAACCAAATCAAGAATTTCATCTAAGTAGATTAAAAATTGCTTCGAATTGATATTGTTTCCCTAAGCCTATAGAGCCATTTAAAATGATCTAAATATGCCAAACATCTTAAACAGAATCCCATAAGTTTCAGAAACTGTTGATATATACAGACTGATTATAGCAGAAAACAAGTAATCGGGGTGAGGGACTGGATACCAAGCGCACACACACAACGTGATCATACCAAATCAAAGCGGGTGAGTCAGCATTAATAAATACCTATGGCAGCATTGTTAGTACTGAATTCTTGCAAGAGAGATTCTGGCTCGATGTGAGAATACTTTTTCACTCCATAATTAATGAAGATACTGTTTTCCATATCCCTCCAATTTCTCTTCCCCCACATCCCATCCTCAGTTCTAGACTCTTTACCCATAAAGGTACTTTTTAATTCCAAGAATAGAATTATTGAAGTTTTATGGTGGATTTATATAAAACAACCCAACGATGGTAACATGTTCCACATATAACAGTGGTCTTTGCAAGCAGGTATATCCACCAAAGGCAAATAACTAGCCTCTTTTCAACTCAGGCTACCTAGATTAGGGGCTCTTGTACACTCACAGAAGCTGAAGAATCTCAAGGAATTTAAACTTCAGGTGGTCTCAAAGGTATTTCAAACCTAACGCACTCGTAAAAGAAAGAGCAAGACAAGTGCTGAGAAGTACAGCAATGCACATTGACAACAGGGAATAATGTTCAGCAGGAAAATAATTTTCTGTAATATTGTCTCTATGGTTCATTTCCTGTTGGAACAACACATAAAGTACATCAAGAGTTCACAAGTCAGACTCCATCTCCCACACAAAGAGATGGCTGAATGTTTTCTACAGGCTGTATGGTAAGGTTCAGAATATTGTAATAAATCACTGGGGCTCTTTTCCATAACAACTTACTTATCCTGCTGAACTGATGTGTTTCCCTGAGAAACAGTGAGACGATTAAAAACATTCAGTTCATTACGAGGCCGGCCTGGTGGGGAAGAAGGAGGTGAAAGACTAGCCTCTGAGGTTCCAGAATCTGAGCTACAAAAAAAAAAGAACATTAAATTGGTGGTTTTAATTGTTTATGATTTGTTAGGAATGTTTTATGAGATATGATTTTTTAAAAAAGCTTTTCATTAGAGAGCCCTTCTTCTTTTCCTTCCTTCCTCTTTTCTTTTTTTATAAGATAAAATGCACTCTGAACAATTTAATTTCCACTGAATTTTGTTAGATTGGCCACAAGATGGCACTAAAGAAAAAGTTCTACCTGCTACACTCAAAGTCAGCACAAAGCAAGCAAGCCAAATTTAAGATGACACAAGTTTAGAACTGAGACCAAGTTGCTCATTTTAGAGACAAAGCAACAGGCCCAGAGGGTTTAAGAATGATTTTCCTACTCAGTTGACTCATTCATTTATTTTTAAATTACTTATTTGCTCCATCCCACATCTCCAAATTATTCTTGAGCCATCTGATTCGGTAGAAACAGACAGATTATACCCTTAAATACAGGAAGCAAGGAAGATTAGAAGGGTACTTTCCATGAAATTCAAGTCAGCTAAGCCCGTGGTCAGAGTCAAGTGTGCATGCCGGTTCAGGACAGGGGAATGGTACAACACTGTCCACCCAGCTACAAAAAATAGGTTAAAGGTACTTTTTATATTACTTTTTATGTTAAAGAAATTAGCTTTACCAATATTTAAATGTAAATTGGCAGTGATATTCTCGCTCAAGGCTGTGTCCCAGATGCAGCTGCATATGCAGCGCAGTAGGTGACCTCAGGGAGGGGCAGGTGTGCCACAGGCAGAAGGGTGACAGTGACTCTAACCCATTCAGTCACCTTTCTGCCTGTTGTGCTGTTGCAATTTACAATGGCTCGGTGGGTCATCAGATTATATGCTGTATTGTTAAGTAAATTAACCCTCACAAACAGCTTTTAAAGGATTTTAGCAAAAAAAAAAAAAACAATTGGAGATAGTACAAATATAAACCAAAAAGATCACCAAGAAAATGGCACAACCCATACACCCTCCAACACCAGTTCTGTCAACCACTTCAAAGAGCTGAAGTCTGTGTTGTTTTTTCCAATGACAACCAAAATTAATTTCAAATTTTTCTAGAAGGCTTAGATTTAATAAGCCTCTCCTCAAGTGTATGTTAACGCCTACAATAACATACACAAATAATTGAAAAATATATACAAGTACACATGACCAGGACAAGTGCTCAAATATTTGTCCAGGTGTGTGTGGCCGAGGAATTTAGAAGACCACTTAGCCAAGCCAATAGCTGACTTGATTGTCTTGAGTAGTCAAATTAGTCATAACTACAGAGCTGGCCTAAATGTGGGAAATAATTTCACCTTTGTCCTTTAGTATCTAAGTGTAGCAGACATTTTATACAACCTAATTGGTAAAAAGCATGAGTAACTTACTGTTTTTGCTCCTTGGCCTTTGATTTTTCTGCTTTCTCATATGCCTTTCTCCTGGTTACAGGGGAAGGCTCTGGTAGCTTTTTTTCTGATAGAGCTGGCTGTCTGGAACTGAAATAGAAGAAGATCCTGTAATCATCTAGTCTTAAGTATATATGTAAACTTTATTTGGCAGATAGTCAACCTAAAATTTGTAATAGATTAATAACTAGAACTTGAGAAAGATTAAAGAGGAATAAAAAAATAAAAGTAGGATAGGAAAATATTCTAAGTAGTTAAAGGAAGCTTAACAACTATATATTTAATTTTTAAATTGACAACCATTTCAAATATATGCAAACCCATTATCTTTCAATATAAAAATCAATGTTATACTGCCAAATAGCTAAAATGTTTTATTTTAAACATATTTTAGTTTGATAAAAAGCACTCCAGTTAAAGAAAAACTGCCTTTATAATATGGCAAAAACAAAAATATTAGAATATCAGAATATAAGAAACAATGAGATTTAATGAATTATATTTAGACATAGTTATACAAAAAATACCAACATAATTATTTTAATTAACTACATTACTTTTTAGTAAACTTTTTGTAATTAAAGTGTTCTTGCCTTATAAATTTTAAATGTTGATAATAGTTATGTAATTAACAATTTAAGTCTATGATTTTTGTATATGGTAGTAATACATTTTAATTGAGAAAATGAATTTCTGCTATTCTTGACTAATTACATTAATAAGAAAAACAAATACACTGAGGAATTAGAAAGCAAGGTCCTCAGCAAGGTTTATGTGATTTCTATTTGAAAGCAAGAACTAAGTATAATAAAAATTTGTGGGCCTAATTTTTCTATTTGAAAGAAGTCAAATTTTAGATCTTCTGAATCACTTAAATCATAAAGGACACTTGAGTAAATTATTTTAGTTTATGTAATAAAAGTCATGCAGGTAAGTAAGGCTTATAAAAGCGACTACATCAAGCACATGACTAGCTATTAAATGTGTGCAAAATTACACAAGCATTTGAATTGATGCGACTTGAAAATAAATCCAAAAAGAGTCCAAAAGGTATCTTCCACCACCTGTCATAAAGGATACATTTTTTTAAATGAAAAAAAAAGGGTAAAAAAGAAGGTATTACCTTAATCTGGATTCCAGGCCACAGATTTAGTCTCGAGGTCCCCAAAGTCTCTACTCATCTGACAGCCTGCACTACCCACACGTGGAGTCCTAAAGCCTGTCCTTGGCTCTGTCTCACTACCTTCACCAAAGCATTTCTTTTGCTGCCATCTTAGCAGAAAAGCACTGAAGCCATCAGCTACACTGGTTAGAAATCTCTAATAGCAACTCCAATAGTTATTATGTAGGCCATCTCAAGCACATGCAAGTTAAGTTCTGTCATCGTTATAATTAATTTCAGAATGAAAGGTTGCAGCTGGGCTTACTGGATTCAAGGTGACAACAGAAATATTTTCATAAAGTGCATAAAGTTATGGGAAACAGATATTCAAGGGGGGAAAGTCTGTTATATTTAGTATTTGCAGAGTCATACAGTGCGTACTGCTTTGGGGCAGTATTCCTCAATGCTGTGATGTATTCATCCCATAAATCATTGCTAGATTATATGTGAGGGTTAGTTTGAAAAATATCATTTAAATCTACGAGGCTGATCTAATTTTAATAACAATTTTCAAAACACATATACACAAAATCTAATACACAATATATACACATACACCTGGCCCGGGGAATCTTTCTTTATCCTCAAGAAAAATAAGGGGAAATCTCTAATTAAGATTTGTTTTGAGTAGAATATTTTTTTTGTTCAGATCATCACAGAAGGGGGAGAGTATATGCACTCCTTCAAATCATTAATAATACCAATGAAAACAGTTTGTGCACTCGTGTCAGACTTATAATGTGTTTCAAAGCAAAGAATTAGGAAAGCTCAAAATGTATTAAGACTGTAAATCATATTTCTGCTTTTTCTTTTAAATGGTCAACAAAGATTTATTTATCCTGGCTAGGCTCTTAGAACTAGGACATACATAATTTAAAGCAAATGTAAGAACCTTTAAAGGTTCTGTTTTATGTAATGGTTTTATAGGTATAACGTCAACCTAATTTAAGTGTTGCTAAATAAATTGTACCTGCAACTCATAACTCAGTCTTTATAAAAATTATAATCCTGTAAGAATGACCCTAAAACTGTGAAACAAGATAATGCAATTCAACAAAGAACATTTCCATCACAAATCATTTTGAATGTCCAAAAAGTTAGGTGAGATAATACCTAACAGAAATTATGTTCAAAATCAGAGATCTCATTTACATAAATTTTTAAAAACAGGACTAAGAAATTAGCAACATGCATATTAAAAAAGAAAAAGCAAAAGAAAGGAAGTTAGTGTTGCTGGGCCAGACTTACATGCTGCCTATCTTAGGAGGGAAGCCAGATGGGGGAGAGAGTTCTTTTTCCCTAGCAGAAGTGCCACTTGTCTCTGTATTCATTCCAATCTCTTGCCCTTCTGCAACAGGTGTAAGAGGGCCAGGCAAGGAAGCGTCTCCTGTACTAGTGTCTGAAGCTAGTTCACTGCTATCTGCATACAGCAACTCCATTTGAGTGGTGGTTCTCCTTCGGGCCTAGTCAGAGAATGGAAGGAAAAGCAATCAGGAGCAAACTTTTGCACAGAAGATGATTAGAAAATAGAGGTTTAGTATTAGTTTGAAACAGGTGAAAACATACAGTGTGTCTTTTCTTAGCAAGAGTGTCAAACATAGCATGTAAGATATAATAAGCCAGAGCTACAAGTCAGATAAGACCTTCACAGGCCATAGTAAAAACCAACATTTGTATTGTACTTCTTGTATGTCAGGCATTGTTCTATACACATTATTATTTGAGCAGGTACTATCATTATCCTAATCCACAAATGAGGCACTGAGCAGCTAAGTAATGTGCCCAATGTCACACAGCTAATAAGTGGCAAACCAGATCCCCTACTGGGCAATCTGCCTCCATATTACTGTGCTATCCTGCTGCTTGTGGCCAACTTCCTGGGCATATAATTTAGAAAGAACAAGAAGAAAGAAATTGAACTGAAATATAATTGCAGGGAAGGTCAACTGAGTTCTAAATTTCCCCATGCTTAGACACTTTAATGTCGGTTTTTATGCCTACTTCTCAAATTTTGTTACCCTGCTCCTCTGATGTGTGTTTAGTCTGCCCGCTGGGTAATTCAGCAGAGGCCTGTACCAGTTTTCCACAGCATGGTGAGGCAGGTAAAGGTTACTTTCCTAGAACCTAAACGCACTATAAGCACTTCTTTGTTTACTCTTAAAAGCCAAGTGATCGCCCTGTTGGTGCTCAGAGTTGTTATCACTAGGGAATTACCAGGTAATCCTGGTGTTCACAGACTACGGGCCTCTCCAGGGCAGGCACCCTGTCTTATTCCACTTTGTGCCTACAAGGTGCCTACACTTCACAGAGTGCTTATTTAAAACATACGGTCGGCTTCAATTTTTCAAAGAGGAAAAATGAATGATTCTTCCAGGCATCTCTGCAATTCAAAGCAAATAGAAGGTAGCACTTCAGAAAACATGGGAAGAGAAAGACCTGACCAGTAGCCAGTTTTTCAGTCAGTTCTCTCCACGGTGGAGGGCCAAGGCAGAGAGGACTCGTTTTCTTGGAAATTCCTAACAGAGCAGTTCTTTCAGGATGACCTTTAGGCCCCTGCCTCACAGCTCTCTGTGCTGTCCCACAAGAGCGAGTAACTAGGTTTTCACAGGGCCTGGAAAAGGTAAGTTGCCTCCCAAGATCCTCCCCACCACTTAAGACGGACCTGAGCCCCCACTAGAATGTTTTCTTGGAGCTTGGGTAACTTCCCCTTAGTCACTTAGAATAAGAAAACACAAACTACGTGTGGCTCAAGGACCACGCGCATAGCCCAAAGATGGTTTTTTATGGGTTTGCACAGTGTTTCAAAGATTAAAAAGCTCTACATAAAAATCTGTATTTAAATCTTCTCTTCAAAAACCAAAGGATCTGGTAAGTGTCAGGCCCGTAGTCTGTCGTGACAAAAATGCACAGGCGTTGAGTGGTGGCTATTTGCTTTAGAAGGGGCACGTCCTCTTTAGCTGATCATGATGACCCCGACCCATGATTTTACGTGCAGCCGAATTACTCCTTTACCCCACCTGACTCACCGCTGGGGCCTTACGTCCCTCCCACCCACCTGTGCAGTATTATTCTCACAGGTCCTGATTCTACCCATGCATTCAACAAATATTCACTGTGAATTCTTTGTCTTCAAATATTTCATGAGGGTTCATTTATTCATCTAGTATCAAACGTTAACAACACTCAATCAGAAAAGTACCAGGTGTATCTTACACATTGCTCACAGCATGTATCATTTATATTTTTAAAATACTTTACAAATATACATTGTAGCCTATTAGCTTTTAATGCAACATGATAATTAGGAGTTGGCTTATTATCAAACCACTTCAGGATATAACTAAACAAAGTAAGAAATACTTAAGCACATATTAGAATGTTAAAATTTCAAAAATCTCCCACCGAGCGACATGATTTATTTTATATGCCATTATAGGTCTACAATTTCATTAATCAACTGCTTTAAATTACTATCGCTTAGTAACTTGACTACCTCCTATATTACTAGGAAATTTAGGAAAACTTTAATAGATTCATACATAACTTCCTTAATGGGTAATAAACCTTTAGAAACCTGAGGGAAAAAAGTGAAAGAAATAAATAAGCCTCCATAATGAAATCTAGTGAGAAAAGTGTACACATACAGTAAAGCACACATTCCACAACAGAGAAGTTTTTCAATATAACTCTTTTTCAAAGGGAAATACTATTTTATACATGGAAGCTTTGGAAAAAACATGACTGCTTGCTAACCTTTTAGGGGCCCTGCCCGAGGGCTACGTGTTTAATGGTGATAACAAAGAACAGTGGGAAAAGGAATAATTACTGGGCATTTTCAATCCCCCATACCTTGTTTTTAGGTTTCACTTCGCCGCAAAGCTTCATAAGGTCTGAAGACAGTGTGCTAGATGCAAAAAATAACCACAAGATTAAAAGGGAATGTATCACACAAAACTGTATGTCCTCTATGTTTACAACTGTGGAAGGAATTGTATATGCTGATCTACTGAAAACAAAGAAAGACAATATTTAAAATTAAAATAAACTAATTAAAAAACTCATTTTCCTTACTTATATATTCCAGTATTTTTATTTTAAAATTTGTCCTGGTTAAGCATGATTAAATTTGGTTCCCATGTTACTAGGGTTATCACATAGCTATAAAATTCAAAATCATTTGTTTTGTAAGGGTAATTGTTTGAAACAAAAAGATAAAATAAATATACTACAGAAACAAGTAAAATCTATTAAGTTCCCAAAGGTTCTCTTACCTTCCTTCTGATCCTGGGCTGTTTAAAGGAGCATCCTCATCAGTACTATCCTCTACATTTTCTAAAAAAAAAAAAAAAAAGCCCAAAGTGTAAGCATTGTCCACACGGCACAGATTGAACAACGACTGTGATCCCTACGCTACAATAAACATCAGCCCAAGGGTTCACTATGGGCACTTTGGCTCTAGCGACTGAAACAAAATGAAATGTAGAAAAATATCTCTAAGAAAATCCTTTGATTATATGCCCTAGGATCAGGAAAAAAAATATGTTCAAAATAGGAAAACCACAAGTTTGATAAGACATAGAACAACATTTATAGTATGTAATTATACATACTCTGCTAAATACATGATTTCACTTATTTTTATATATTTTTTTACTTTTCAATTGCAGCTGACACTCAATGTTATATTAGTTTCAGGTATACAGCGTCATGGTTAGACATTTATATTCCTTCACTTTTATTTTTGTTTAGAGAGAGTATGTGTGTGCAGGTACTCAAAAGTTATACATCAGCATGCAGCTCATTCACGTGTACACAAAAGATAAAAGCAGGTTTACATGCAACAGTTTTATAAATGAATACAGATACACCACTGCTGTTTCGGAACACTTTAGCAAGCTAGTAAAAAACAGAAGAAAAAGCAAATAAATAAAACTAGTAAAAGTCAGTAAATAAAACAGCCACTGAAAGTGAACAATGTAAAATGTCAGTGAGCCCAAAACATAGGCGCAGGCTTTCAAAACACACACTGTATTACAAAGTCATTCCAGAAAACTAAAGGCAGCATTATAAATACACATATTAATAAAAATATATTAGTCACCTCCTTTAGCTTTTAATTTTATATCCTCCAGGTGGACTGGGCACAAAAGTCAACTAACTCTTTTATCTGATGTTTCCTTTCTTCCTCACCGTTTAGCCGATGCCAGAGAAATTCAGTAATACTTATACTTGAAAGTATCGTCTAAGAAGGAGCCCATCTAGGACCCACACAAGAGAGTTTACTTTCTCCAGAGAAGAGAACTATGGTCCTGAAGGCAGTGTGTATCTCAAAGCCCACCATCAGAGGGAGGCTCCAGACTTGCTTCACAGATGGATAATTGTGTGCCAAGGTGGCAGAATTAGCTGATAATACAGAAAATGGGGTTATAAGGAAATGACAAACCTAGCCTTTCTTTTCCCATGTATAAACACGGATTAAGATCGGCCTGTATCGTTTTTGGAGGGAGAAACCAGTGAGAACACTAAACAGTACATACTTAGGAAAAAGTACTTAGCTCCTGCGCGCGTGTGTGTGTGTGTGTGTGTGTGTGTGTGTGTGTGTGTGTGTGTGTGCCTGGTTAGAGATGAGGGTGCTGTGACACAACCAACCTCGCCAGAGGTCAAAGGCGCCACTCAGACAGGCACCAAATCACAGCCCCCGTCAACACTGAACTCAGCATGAGCACTACAGTCACCTGGGCGGCAGGACACACCATCCTCACCGTCACACTCTCAAGTCCAAGAACATCAACCCAGTCCATTGCCAGCGCCTTTTCTCGTCACCACAGAATGCAAGCTGAAGAAAGAGACGTATAACTCCCAAACGCCTTAAAGTTCATTCATATAAGTGCAAGATTGCATAATCTCTCTTCACTGGAAGTTGACAAAATATTTTTGAAGTCCTCGAGTCATTTTTAAAGTTATATTATGAAGTAGCATATGGAAAAGAGTTAACCTAGCAGCACAGACACCGCTATCCTTAGAAAGGCCTGTTCTCAAGGTTGGACTCTGTCTGTTATTTGGACAGATAATGAGAGTAGCTCACTGCACCTAGAATTTGTGCAGGTGATATGGCTTATGCCAAACTACCAGTTTCCTTCTGGAAGTCTGGAGTCAGGAGTGTGCTAGACAGAGAGCATCTATGTGGCTGGTCCCCTGGGAAACCTCGGGTGCTGATTTCTCTGGGCATAAACTTCACACACATGTGGCTGCACTTTCATTCCAGGAAGAAAAGTACATTCTGTGCAATCTTTTGTGTGAGGGAGAAACATTATTAAGGAAGCCTGGACACAGACTTCTCCAGACTCCTGTGTGCTTTTCCCTTATAACACAGCTGTGTATCCTTCCTAGTTGCATGAATCTTTGCTGTGAATATTCAATATTGTGAGCCCCATGAGTCCTCTAGCAAATATCCAAAGATAGAGATGATCTTAAGGATGCTAACATAGGTAGGGAAAAAAGGAGGGAAAATAAAGATGTTCTTCAAAGGCCATTAGCATGAGGTGTTGGCTCTGGCTCACCCTCTAGCCTTATTAAGTTCCCTCATTCTGTGCCATGTCCTTGCCGCTCCAGAACACCAGTCTGCTTGGATGCCTCATGCATACAATAGTCTGGCTAAATCACTGCCTAGAGTCACTCTGCTTTGAACCCCCCTTCTACCTTGTCTTCTGCCTACCTATTCTTCCTTTGTTTCAGCTCAAATATCACCTCTTCTGGAAAGCTTTCACTGACTCCCCCAGTGTTGGGTGATCTCATTCTGTGCTCTCATAACTCCCTATATATATATATATTATATATATACATACATGTATATATATACATGTATGTATATATATATGTATGTATATATGTATATATCCCCCAATCACTGCCCTCACTGTAATGCATCATAATCTGTTCATGGTCTGTCACCCTAAGCAAGGTATCAAGGCCCTAAGAGCAAAATGTTGTATATTACTCATCTTTGAATCCCAGCACTCTGCCCAACGCTTGGAACAAAACCGGTACTAAATAAATGTTGTGTTTTGTTAAGATACACAGATCTCTGACTGTCTAGCTTCTGTGGATTTACTTCTACTTTTTTTCCTCCTTCCATACTTTTCCTCCAACCACCTCTGGGCTAGATTTTCATTCCCAGTACTTAGGGAAAATTTCTGCAATGAGACATAGGTTAGGTCAGTTAAATGGTACCAACTCTGTTTCTGACCCTTCTTGAAGCTATAGATAGTTCAAAGTGGTGTGAAAGTTGTGAAAAAGTAACACGGCTCATCCCATTAGCGGCTTAATCTTTTCTGTACAAAAGGACATTGAAGAAGGGATTGAATTATTCTTCCAAATAAAAAGAAATCACAGACTAAAATAAGAATTTAGTTATTACTGTAAGTCGGGCCACTAAGAAAAAGAAGAACAAAGGAGGAAAAGACAGAAGAAAGGGAGGAGGGAAAAAATGGCAAAAATCTGGTTACAATCCAAAAACTCGGGCAGCGCTGGCTGGGATACAACAAACCCCGCTTTTTCAAACTACTTGTTACAGCTTGAGCAGCTTAAAATTAGTAGCCTTCTGTATCTGCAGCATGCAGTTGATCTCAAAAATATTACTTCGAGATTAACATGAAGTAAAAATATTGTAAAAATCATACAGCTTGTGTATTTTATTTGTATAACATCATTTAAAATAAATTCAGATTCACACGCTATTTTTATTCTGGTGACACAGAGAAGTAGTTGCATTTAATCTTTCAGGAATATTCCTCTTCTTTAGGTAAAACATTTAGAAAACGTTGACCACTGTATGATTGAGGAAAAAATTTCAAGCCAGATTGCAAAATAATTTTAATTAAATAAAAACTTCTCCAAATCAATCATTCAGAAAAATTGAAAATAATAAAGTTGCCCCAATGCTCCTGGCCCTCTGTGTGTACGATCACTAAGGGGAGCAAAGCTGCTGCTCGTCGGTGCGTGGAGTTCATTGAATGCTGTCATGGTAAGAGAAGAAGATTCAAAATCTATATGAAATCAATGATCGAAATCAATGATTTGAAATCTATTCGAAATCAATGATCACTGAAGCCTCTTCTAACTTAAAAATGTTATGATTTTATGTACTGTTTCCATCTCTTCATATAGTCCCTGGATGGCTTTATTCTATTTACAACGTTAAATTATATGTGGCTTTATTTTACAAAAATTAAGAATAGCTGAGAATCTAGACAACATATACCAAATATACACTAAAGGTATATACCAAAGAAAGCCACTTATGAGGTTAAAATGACAGATCTGAGTTAAAAGATATATTTAAAAATAAAAAAAAACATATACTCCACTTTTTTTCTACAAGAAAGAGAAAGAAGGGCTTACAAAACTGGAGCCATCATTGCAGTTCAAATAATAAAAGAAAAAGTTAACTAAAGCATACTTCTTTAAACATCTTAAAACTTTTCAAAATCAAGAATGTATAAGAAAGACAACAGACTTAGTATGTTTGTGGTCATGGATACATTTCAAAAAAGATCATGCAAAAAAAACAGTGGTTGCCAATAAACATTTTAAAAATAAGATGTACCACAATTAGTGTACACGAACAATTAGTAATTCATGCAGCTGCACAATACACAGAAAGCTAAACATACTTACCTACTGGTATGCTATCTAGATCTGTGTAAATACGGCAAAAAGGAAACAAAAAGCAATACTCCAATCAAAACAGATCCAATGTTAAGAACTCCCACATAAAACTAGATGATAGTACCATTTATAAGATATGTAGAATAGATGCCATACCAAAAACTTATTTTTCAAGGTAGGTAGATATGCAGAGTCAAGTAATGACAGTTGGTAATATAAATAATTTAAATAACCAATTCAGAAACTTGACTGATCTTCTTTATTCATAAATACTAACTGCTTAGTAATGTTAATTAAGCCTTTTTGAGTTGGTAATCACTTCTTGGAATGACAATAATTAATCCCCCAAATTTACACGTGCATTAAAGAAGGAATAATTAATAAAAGCACAAGTAAATATAGCATCTATTCAGTCAAGCTATTGGGGAAAGAGGTACAGTAAAGCGTACTCAAAGAGCAAAGCTATCATGCAATTCATTTAACTAAAATTTAGCCCCAATTACCTTGTAAAGCGTGGCCTAGTAAAGCATCTAGCTCAGGATTTAACTCTGCTTTCTCTTTCAACATATGGAATAAGAGTTGGTTTTGTGTTGCACTGGTTATTTCAGTTTGTTTAAGCCGACCTTCAAGTACTTTGATCTGAGCCTCCTTCTGGGCAGCCTGAAGACCCTGTAACAACACCAAAAACATAAATAAAATTGTCTTAAGTCACACAAAACCAAATCCACCACACAAAGATCTGTATCAAACAGCAAATGCATGTGACATACAGATGTTGACATCGGAGAGACCTCAATTCCTCTCAGCTCCTCTGCTTACTCAGCTTGGTGACCTTGAGCAAGTTACCTAATCTTCCTGACTCTTAGTTTTCTTACATGTAAAATGATATGAATACTACCTATTTCCTAGCATTTGTGAATTAAGTAAGAAAACACCATAAAAGGTCTAGGCATAACCCCAACATGAGAAAAAATGAGTCAGGAATTATATTCCCCTTCAACATTGAGGTAGAAGTTTCTTACAGGTAACATATTAACGCATTACATTCAAAGAAGATGGGAATGCAACTATAGTTTTTTCTTTCTGAATTCTTTTTCCAAGCTGTAAAGAATCAGAGACATGAAAATAAAGAACAAACTGACAGTAACCAGCGGGAATGGAGGAGGGGAATAATGGGGGAAAGAAGGGGAAAGGTCAAGTCAAGGAACAAGTACAATGGACCCACGGACAAAGACAACAGGGCAGGGTGTGGGGATTGAAAGTGGGAGGGGGGGCCTGTATAGGCCCGGGGAGAGTAATGGGGGCGGGGAATGGGGACAACTGTAATTGAACAACAATACAAAATTTTTTTCAAAAGAATCAGTTACAACCCAACTTATGATACCAAATTTGTTTCCATCCCGAGGGAATTTTCTTTTAATTTTTCCTTTGTTAGAACAAAAGAGCAGTTAATTATTCTCTAAATTGTTTTTCTGTTCTAATATACAAACAAACACAACAGATGACAAGTTAATGAACTTGATCTAAATATTGCTAACAACTCTAAAGAAAGGTAAAAGGAATACTTTCTAATTAAAAAGAATCTTCCTTATCACAAAGAAAAGGATCACTGGAGAAAGATAAACAAAGCTACAATGAATTAATGAAAACTTAGGTTTTTCAAAAACTGTCGATCTTACCTTATTGATGCCCATTGACAGGAAGTGACCCAGCAGGTAGCGGGCTTCCGTGAGTGTGCAAGCGTTAATGACCGCAGTGACATCCAGCGTTTCTCCTTCTTCCTACATCAAACCAGCATGTGATGTGACATTACTTAGAGCTAACTGTATTTAAACAGAAGGCAAAGGCCTATTGTTTCATGTGCTTATTTGATAGGTTTCGGTTAGCTACCAAGACGCCTCAGAATCATGTAAAAATTTCCTACACCAAGAAATATACAGTCTAGTTGAAAAAGATAAGACACATTTAAATTCAAGATGGGTTAAAAATGATGTCTTTTACAAATAATAAATAATATTGCAAAGTGAGCAGAGCTATCTGGAAAGCGGGCAGGGAGGGAGTGGTATGCATACAAAACCTAAGAATCATATTAAATTAAAAAAAGAAAATCCCTTCATATACAAATTCAAAATGTTTTTAATAATAAAAATACTTTTTGGTAGAGCACGAAACATTTTATATTACAAACCTTTGCTTCTTCCATCTGCATGATGTTGGCTTGACAATCAGAAATACTGTCATTGATGTAATCTATATTAGCAATTAATGACTCCATCTCCTCATTGATGTTAACCACATTTTTATCTCCCTCTCCACTCTCCTTCACCATCTTTTCCCTTCTTTTTGAAAGTTTCTCTCTTCTTCGAGTGAGTTCTTCCCGTTGCTGTTGAGAAAACAAGTTGGATTTTAAGAAGTCATATTTATCTAGGACCTTGAGAACATTATGCTAAGTAAAATGAGTGAGTCACAGAACGACACACACTAAAGGATTCCACTTTTGTGTGCTAAGTAAGAGTCAGGCTCACAGAAGCAGCGTGAGTCTGGTTGCCAGAGGCTGAGAGAGGAGGAAATGGAGAGTTGCTATGCAGTGGGTATAAAGTTTCCATTTTCAAGGCAAGTAAGTTCGAGAGATCTGTTGTACAGCATCATGCTTATAGTTAACAATATTATGCCGTACACTTAAAAAAGTGTTAAGAGTACAGATCTCATGTACCTGTTCTTAGTGCAATTTTTTAAAAGGATGTTCTATTCATACACAATGTGATCAGAGCTCATGGGGGAAAAATAAACGTTGGTAAGTATTAAATTTACCCAGGGCACAAATTTGAAAAACTAAAAATTAACAGCCAGCTAAGGGAGAGCATGCCTACTCTCTACTTTGCACACCTTGAGGAGTCGATTCATGTCAGCCTCCATGTTGGAAATCGTCATTTTCTGCATGATGATGTCAGTGACCCTGCGCTCCAGCAGCTGCCACTTCATGCGCGCCGTCTTGGAAGTAAACACGCGGCCAGTCAATCCCTTCCTCTGATATTTTTTTCTACAATCATATAAAGACAGACAAACATAATTACTCATGTACTTCTTTGATTGTGCACTGGAAAATACTCTACTTTTCATTTAATCCAACATTCAGTAATAAGGCTGCAAAGCTTTTGTTAGGAGGAACAGAAGACTTGTGTTGACCTGGTTCCATTTGTCGTGGGCACTGTTGGTAAGGCCTGCACTCTTGCCACAGGAATTCTCATTTTCTGCTGAGCCCCTGCTCTGGATGTGTCTGTTTCTATAGTAGATGCACTGGAACCTGTGTCCGGAACAGGGCTGTCGGATGAGCTCAGCTTCCGAGTGACTTTCCCGGCCACTTTATCTGACATGGGTCTTACTTGCCGACGAAGAGCTGTGACCTGAAATAGCAACAGAGATCGACTCCTTCTCTTAGTCTATAGAAATGCATAATTTATCTCAAAGCCACAATACTTCCTCCACATGGAAAACTTGCCTCTTCAGTTTTGCGACGAAGAACCACTTCTTGGTTTCTTTTTTGGGCTTCCAGAAGTCTAAGTTGATGCTATAAAATAATATGAGTAAGTTAAAAATAGTAAACTGGAAGCTACAACACTTCCTATACCTACATTAACATATTTTCCATCCTGCTGGGAACTATAAGAGTTTCAGCAAAATCTAAACTAACAACGGCCTTGCATCCAGTATTACAGATACAGATATTTTATTCCAATAAACACAAATGCATATTGACATAGCCGCTTGTCTCTGAAAAACGACAGGCTATCTCTGTGACACATACTTTTTGACAGTTGATCAAGTCGGTGTTTTTATTAATCTTGCTATATACAGTTTAAACAAGACCCATCCATTAAATACATAAGGACATGACAGGGCTCACTGTAATAATGAAATAAATATGTCAGAGATGCTGAGCAAACCAAAAGAAGTCCATACTCTTCAACACAGAAAAACAGAATTAGGGTTAAAGAGAGTAAGTTCTTATTTTTTATGGTTGTTCAATTACAGTTGTCCCCATTTCCCCCCATTCCCCCCAATTACTCTCCCCTGCCCTACTCCACCTCCCACAGTCAATCCTCCCGCTATTGTCTTTGTCCATGGGTCCTTTATACATGTCCCTTGACTTGGCCCTTCCCCATCTTTCCCCTGCTATCTCCCTCTGTGACACATACTTTTATTTAACATATACTTATATAGCGCTTACTGTATACAAGCACTTTCCTAAATGCTTTACAAATATTCTCATGTCATTTCTGTTAGACATTTTGTTTTGCTGGCTGAGGCATACATAGGAAGAAATAACAGCTTAGGATGTTTTCAGTAGACATACCTCACAATACATATAGTGATTACAAAGTCTATTTTAAATATGGGGGAACATAAATTAGCTGTATTAGCACTTTAAATAACTTTGAAAGTGTTGGGTAAATTGCCAATAAAACATGTTAGCATTGGATATCAATTTGCTTCTAGCTCCTCTCTATCACAAAGACAATTAATTATGGATTACTTTAAGCAATTTCATAGGGCTAAACTTCATGGAAGAGTTTTGGATTAAAAAATCCTAATTTTGGTTCTGTCATTTATTCAATTCTATGATCTGGCGCAGTCCTATGTCATCAGATGAGAATTCTTAGAAATAAGAGTTCTGTCTTATCACTGCCATATCTTATTGTCTATAATAATGACTGACAGAGAAGCAAAGTTCATAAATCTTTTTAAAATGAATTACCAAAAATTAAAATTAACATACAGTTTGAAACTTGTTAAATTTCTTCCTATTAAAGGTCAAATCTCAAGCTCAGTCATACATTTTGTATGGTGTACAACATGAATACAACGACAACAATTTGGAAAGGAGGACCCTGTGCACACAAAACAGCACAAAAAAGGGGGGACAGGAATCTGCACATCAGTTTTGTATGTGATTAGACAACCTCACATCTTTATAATATTGTATCACATATGATCGTATGTTGCAGATAAGGTTCCAAAGAGTTAATTGCTCAATATTGATCTCCCTATAGTTCATATGAATTAGTGATAAAGAAATAAAAAGCATATATTGCAAGGCAATTGTTTCCATCATACAAGAGTTTTCATTAAAAACAAAATAAATAGGGAAAAAATGTAAATAACCCAAAGGTCTGTCAATTAAGGAATGGGTAAACAATATGTGCTCTATCTATACATGATAAAAAAGAATGAACTACCCATATATGCTTGAAAATATCATGCTGATTGAAAGCCAGAAACAAAATGTGTTACTCCATTTGGAGATGAAACGTCCAGACTAGACAAACCCATAGGGATAATGTGCATGAGTGGCTGCCAGGGGCCAGGAAGAGGGTAGAATGGGGAGGGACTGCTAATGGATACGAGGCTTCCTTTTGGAGTGATGAAAATGTTCTGAAATTAGATGTTGGTGATTGTTGCACAATTTTGTGAATATACTAAAAATTTGAATTGTATGGTTTAAAAGAGTAAATTCTCAATTTAAAAAATAGCAGATAAGATAAAAAGAATAGGCAATATGTCATAATGTCCTTCTACTTCATTTAAATAATAAAATAGTATAAACAAAATCTAAAAGGCCCAGGAATTGAAAGTGACAAAATATACTGGTTATTAAAATACATTGATATGCTGGAAAAATAAGAAATAAATAAAGGCATAAATATGGGAATCATCTGGTTAAAGTATCTACTTTTCTACCTCAGTACTCTGTCTTCTCTACCTCCTTAAATTTCACCTTACCTCCCAAAGTATCTTTCTATTTCCTGAAATATACTGTATATTCCTGTTTTCTCCAGGGAGCAATTAGAAAATGTGGAGGAAAAAAAGGAACAAAGCTAAAACCTAGCCAACAATGGAGAAAAGAGGGTTATGACCTTTCTTTTAAGGAACAAAGTCATAAATGAATTAACTATGACGTCAAAAATTTTGAAAGAAGAAAAACCAAATCAACTATAACCTATAACCCTATAACCCTAACAGAACAACAATTAGTTAGCATGTTGGGATATATCCTTCAAAATTTTCCCTCATTTTAATCAAGCATGCATAATTTAAATGCTACTTTATACTTAATGTTAAATCAGTCATTTTTCATTTTACTATGCAGTTGCCAAACCCTAATTTTTAGTAGATGAATAGCAACCTATTAAATGAGATGGACTATAATTTATATATATATCCCCCCTACTGTCAAGCATCTTGTTTGTTTTTACCTTTTTCACTATTACAAATGACTCTAAAGTAAGAATTTTAGCACATAACAATTTTTCTTATTTTAGAATTATTTTCTTAGTCTGTGTTCACAGAAGTAGAATTCTTGAGTCAAAGAATGTGAACATTTTTCATATGTCTTAATAAAGCCTCCTCCAGTGAAGCCTGGTTCTTACTCCAGGGACATGTCTAAAACTATCTAATAAGGAAACTGCCTTTGGGACCATCCTTAAATCGCTATCTTATCTCCCTAGAGACAACCAGCTGTTCTACGCCATTTTCTTCCTTCTCATCACCTAGGAAATAAGTCTTCCAAACAACTTATAATAATATTAGTGTTTTGCATAAACTTTCATGCACAATACACACTATATACAATTAATGCTTATTGTCTTAGCCTGTTTTTAATAGTTACAGTTACCAGAAAATTTTCCTCCATTTATTAAGCAGTTCTGTTCAATGGACAACATTCATATATAACTGAGAAAGCCCACTCACATCTCTTTTACGTTGATCTTTTTTCAACTGAGCAATCTCTCTGTTTCTTCTAGATTCTGTCAATCTGGCCTTTTCTTGTTCCTCTTTCATTTGTTTCATTAGGCGAACCTACAAAATAAGGTAAATATCCTGTTGGAATTACTTCACACAAAATTCACTGAATAAACCACATGTATAGAAATTAGTTCTGAGACTTCTGGAATTTAACATGGAAATGTGGAGTTCTGCTGCATTTCAAATGGTCAATTCTTATTTTTGTGGAATTAATACATTTATAATATGTTTCTATCAATTTGCTTAGTGCTCCATGCATTATATATTCAGTGTGCAGTTGTTCTATATGAATTTTTGATACTTATTACTAGTAGTTGTGTGACCTTGAATGAGTTACTCAACCTCTTTAGGTTTTGGTTTTCTCACATACAAAATTGAGATAATAGTTCTATGGCATTGAAATATTAGAAGAATTCAATGAGTTAATATGTGTGCACTGCTTATAACAATGCCAGGCATACAGTAAGCACCTAATAATTTTAGCTATTGGTATTAGCAAATATACAACATAATGACTGACTTTATTAACCATTTCTGCACTTGCTATTTTAAGGAAACACCATTGATTTTTATGCCAAATGTTAATAACTGATCCCGGAACAAAAACAGTTAACAGATCAAGATTCATGTACTCTTTTCAGTCAAGAGAAGAATATATGTGCTTTTCTATGCATGGGAATGATAAATAATAATTCCAAGTAGAAGATAATCAGGAAGTGATATAAAGAAGGCTTTGAGTCTATCTGTAATGTTTAATATCTTAAACTAGATTGTGGATACAGTGTTCATTACATAATTACCTATGCTTTTTTGCATGTTTGAAATATCTTTATGTTTGTTAGGCTTAAGTAAGAGTCTTAAGAGGAGAATTGTCTATCAAAGTCCAAGAAGCCCTGCTGACCACATGCTTTTCAGCTACTCTGAAGAAAGGCTTTAAGGCTCTGCTAATGGATGACTACAGGAAACGACTTCTAATTGCCCAAAGAAAGTACATCACTCGTAAGACAGGGTTACCTTTTTACTGAATATGACAAAAACCACAACGATTTTTTTTTGTCCCAAATGACTCAAGCATCTTCAACGTCAGACTTAAATGGACAATATAATCAATACCTTTGTCTTTTTCATTTCCATCACATCCTGCTGCAATTTCTTCAATTGCTTTTCATATTGAGACTGATTTTTAAGCAACCTGGCATGCTCTTTTTGAGCTGCCTGAAGTCTCTGCAGTTCTTTATTCATGGCTTGGAGTTTCTTTTCATATTCAGACTTAACTTTTTTGGCCTTTTCTTCTGAGTAAGATTCCACTGAGCCTAAATGTCAAAGAATATTTGGATTTGTTTTTTTGAGACACAGATTTTTATTTCACAGACTTGGAACTCACGACCTTCAAGAAGAACTACCTCCCAAACAAACTAGAGTGTGTCTAAATCACATTCTCTAGTATCTACTCTGAATTTGCTTAATTATTGAAGTCTTCTTAATTTAGAAAATGGTTCCAGCATAAATCAGACACATTCACATAATTAACCACATCTTCAGAAAAAAAGAATTAAATAGCCTAGACAGGTACCGGAATGAAATAAACAAAATAAAAAAACATTCACTATCTAGACACATTCACATTTTATCTGACTTCTAGTATAGTTTTTCTTCTAAAAGAAGAAACTATAAAAATTCCATTTTCGTGATGTAGTCTAAACTTTCATTGGAATTCAGCATAACTCTTACCTAAATTCTGAAGCACTTGGTCCCTCTCCAGCTGAGTGTCCCGAATTTTATGTTGCAGCATCATTAGCTTCTCTTCGTACTGCTTTTTCAGTGTCTGCAGTCTTTTCTGGCTGTTTTCCAGTTCATCAATCAGCTTTTGCTTGATTGCAATTTCACAAGTAATGTTTGCTAAGTCTGCTTGATAATTGGCTATTTATAAAAGAAGAAAATAAAAATACTAGGATGGGCCAAAATATTATAATTCTATCTCTCAAGCAAGTGCATGAAAATTATAATCTCCATCCAGGTATTTACTGACCACTTATTTTTAAAATATTCTAGATAAAACAAAACTAAAATAGGTGAACAAGATAAACAGTGTTCACATGGATCAGGGACAACAGATATTATTTGTACTAAATAGAAATGGAAATCGCACAATGACTGAATCCAATTAGGGAAGAAACGTGAGCCTTGAAGGGCATCATTGTAGGTCAGCAGTTATAAAAGCTGTTTTCATCAAGGATGAAGTGGAGAATGGGAAGACTTTTCTGTCATGTTTTAAATAAGTTCCCAAATGAATTTTTGTCCTTGTACCAAAGTGTAAATACCTTTTTCATCTGATTCAGAATCTGATTCATCAGAGCTTTCACCCCCTTCAATGTCATCTTCTTCCTCCTCTTCTTCCTCTTCTTCATCGTCATGATCACTTACTTCTTGATTTTCTTCCTAAAATTAGGTTTATGGCCATTAATAGCACAGTTCTGGCAAAGCAAACTGGTTACCTCATTAAGAGAGGCTACTGGAGTATCAAGTATAGAAGTTCAAAAATTTCACTTTTCATCCATTCAAAAATCATTCCATGACTTTAAGGTTATTTACTTAACAATTTTGTCTAAAGTCAGAATACTCCATCTCTCATAGTATTCTCTGCCCCCACACACAATGCTTTCACAATGCATATAAGGTAGGTTGCCAATACTTATAACTATCTAAAAAATAGAGGTTCTCAAGAAAAAGTTTAAAATGGATGCACGATAACCACTTCCCTTTTCTACATCTAAGTTAGTATAGCTATCAGCAACCAAGGACAACCTAATCTGGCGACTAAAATCTACAAGTTCATTTTCCCATACTTACCACTTCTAATTCATTGTTTTCTCTTTCTGAAATACCCTTTTCTTCTTTCTTCTCTTGATCAGTGTCTGCATTATCCTCTTTACCAGCCACACTTTAAAAAAGGGGGTGGAGGAGAGTATGGTATTAAAGTTGAGAAAAACAGTTCACTTTTTTCTTTCAGATTTTAAAAAATCATCATTTTGAAAAACAAACTAGAAGAGCTGACTATTTAACTGACCAAAATGATCATGTCTGATGCTTCAGAGGAAAACAGAAATTGCTATTCAACCAACAGTGTAGTGATTTATACTCTAATGAAAGAACGACTTACTTCCGGAAACACTGAGGAAGAGATTACATCCAGGAGTATAAGACCTGACAAGACAGCTAAGAACTAGTCACAGAAACAGCCAATTAACTAGAATGTAAGCAATTTAAGCTCAAAGGCATCAAAATAAATATTTTTTCCATCTAGGTATATAAAAATTTTCTCATCTAAATACAAAGATATAGAAACTGCATTTTTATTGATGTCCTAACACATTTAAGAATAAATTTAAAGATCCAGAATAAGTCTGCCACAGCCCATTTGTCCACACTGGCTGCACCCAGCCAGGTGTCCGGGTCTCCTCCAATAAGAGCACAAGATGCTTTCTTACGATGCTTTCTTCCTAGGCCATACCTACAGCACAGGTCTGTTTCTGATAACCTCACCGAAATGGGTCTTTGCACATCAAAACTGTCTGAAGTTCAGCCTGACCTTTGCGTGAACAGGACATTTCAGAGTCTGCCACAAGATTCTCCATACAAATAGAAGCCTCTTCTTCAGTTACTGAGTACTAACAGCTGTTAACTACCCACACACATTAATGACAGTTGATGGTTAAAACTAAACTAGGTCAGCCCTGGTGGCCCTGAGAAAAAGAAGACTCTATAGTGAGCAAAGTTTTTGCACACTTAATCACTTGACCTTTATAGGGGTTTAGCAATCATAATCAATTAGGCACAGAAGTTATACTTCTATACACTAGACTCATACATTTAATCAGGCAAGTAATATGGAAAAAAGTTAACTTTAAATGAATCTGCATGTGGAAAATTTACTCTTGTGCTATAGTAACATTTTCAAATTATTAAGAATAAAAAGCATACTTGAATAAGGCAATATTTCCCCAACAAAATCCCTCCTAGAATGAGTTTAAATACTCTACCATAATAACTTTATAACAGCTACCATTTCTTTCAGATATTCTGCTACATTAAATAATTGCCCTACTAAATGAATTTATTTTTAGAGTCAACTAAAATTTTAAAGTTATTTAGGCTCTGTTATTATCATTATTGACTTCTAATGTTCATAGGTCCCAGTTCTCATTGATATCTTCATACTCACAGTATGAAGTACTTATAATTTATAAGATAAATTATAAGTACTTTTCCTTCATATGTATTTTTCAGGGTTCTTAATTTATGTTTATTTATGATTTACCTCTTTAATTTCTCCCTTCCCCACTAGACTGTAAGCCTCATGAGGTCAGGGATCATGTGTTTGACTAACTATGACATTCCCAGCACCCAGATGATATGCACAATAAATGTGCAGGAAATGTCCAATATACGAATCCCTATGGCTGTGCATAAACAGCTCTGTTTGGCACCTATGCTAGAGTTCAACGGTGATTGAAAGATGCATAAAGAAAGATGGAAGATAACATATATCTACAGTGAGGAGAAACTAGCAGTAGGAATATCAATAAAAACAATCTTAACCACAGAGGAATCAAGTAAATTATAACATGGTTCAATGAGTGTTGGTAAATCATTTTGCTAGAGAAAAATACTGAATTTGCTACATGCCTGTCTTACATCACTTGTACTATAGTAGGGCTGCTGATTTCCCTCCACCCTGCAATTCAAGTCAAAAATCTAGAAAGAAACTCCCCCTTCATCCAATCATTCCACTCAAAGGTCAGTACCATATACTCCAACAGTGCCATACTTGAGATACAGGACCAAGGTTAAGGGCTAAGAGAGGAGACTGTGTTGGAAAAGGTATCTCCCATCAGCATTCCCCATTCCCTCTCCTATGCTGTCTCTCTTCCTCACCTCCCACTGTTGCAGCATATAATTTTTGTTTTTATTGGTTCCTCCATTACTTCAAATTCTAACCCAAACTCTTTTTTCCTTGGGTTTATACTCACAAAACCACTTTATTCCAAATCCCTGACCCAACACACCCTCTTCCTCCCCCCATTATCCAGTTAAATACACGTTACTTTTTACTTGACATAAAGTTAGCTCACATTATAAGCTGTCTGTGCCAATTCTGATGCAGAAAACTCAGTAGTTGTAACTTTACATTATTAATTGACCTTCACAAATCACTTAAAACTTAAGCTTTTAAAATAGACATTGATACTTTATAATTATTATACTTCAAATATGCAAGTTTTCCTCAATAAACTGAGGCAAACTGATATAGAAAATAGCTAGCTAAGAAGCAATTAAAGATACCTAAATCTGCACTTTACAGATTCAGAATCTCGGAGCTGGGAGGAGCACTAGTGCTCATGTGGTTTAACCCCTTTAACATTTGAAAACCAGTGTCAACATTTCTGCTAACAACCAAAAAAGAAACTGTGGCCTGGGTAAATCAATCTATTCAAGGGGACTACAACCAGGTTACCATGACCCCAGGCCAGTATTCTAGAAGCTGGCACCTGAAGTTCAGTCCCACAGATAGGGAAGCTGCAGCATCATCCAGGGGCTGGTTAGATATGCGGAACCTCAGGCTCCACCTCAGTCCTACCGACTCAGAATCTTCACTTTATCAAACTCCCGGGGTGGTCTGTACGCATATTCATGTTTGAGAAGCCCCGTCCTAGAATATCAAACTGCTCTGCTTTTGCTACCCTTCAGGGATGATATAAAAGTTGGAAGCAAACTATCCACTAAGTACATTTAAAGGACTTAAATATTTTAAGGTGGGAAAAATTTTCCACATACTACTTTAACTACATAACTTATTTTAAAAAACAGAAAAAAGCTCACATTTTTATGCCTTTAAATCCAATGATAAACCTAATGTTCTAGATATATACAAATCAGGTGACTGAGTGTAACTCATGGACAATTAGAATTGTACTACGATCATAAAATACTTTGAATAAGTTGTAGAATTACAAAACTAGAAACCTCAGAATATTATATAATGTATAGAATATAATTGTGAAATGTAATTATTAAATAATATCAAGAAATTATAATCTTTAAGCTTTCATATTTAAAGATATTAGTTTACCTAGTTGTTGCATAGTAAATATCCTCAAAAAGTTTATTTTAAGAGAGAAATTTCTAAAGTGGTGCTTCAAAATACGAAAATACTATTAAAACTAGTATATTTTCTTAATAATTTTTATTATATGATATGGAGATTTGTTTAGAAAAATCTGTGCAGAGAAATTCTTCTAGGAAGTAAAATACCACTTGACGCTGGTTTAAATACCACAATTCTGAATGAGTGAAAACAGAAGTGTTTTTTACAAATGCACTTCTGAATTCTGCTCAAATTTCAAATGGAAAACAGATACCTTGTTTCTGACGCTCACTTCTAATGCATTTTAAAACACTGGTTTTCCCAATTCAATCTTAAAGATGCATTGCAAATCTTATCTGTAGTAAGGCCACAGTTTCCTTTTGCTTTGTTGCCATGTTAATGTTATCTTTCAACAAAGACTACACCAAATAGGAAGAGGAGAGAGCCCACCAGCAGGGGCTGCACCAAAAAGTCAATTCCCACCCAACTGATAATTGCACGGCTGCTCACAAGTTTCTGAAAGATGCATTTTGAAAGTCAAATGAGGCTTGGGGTCATTTTTAGCCTAAAAAAGGTATGTCACCTTCATAATTATGACAGTTTATTCTGAACTCACATGACATTGCCTGAATTCTAATTCATATTAGAAGTCAGGGTTTTCTACTCAAAAAATATTTTCAAAAATGTATTTGGCATTTTTAATTTCACAAAAATCATCATTACTTTTAGGAGCACCAAGCTACTCTAGTCTGAAACAATCTATAATTCTATAACACATTCCCCTTTTAATGGCAACTAAGTATTTAAATGACATTTTAATTAAAAACCTGGGAAATATTCCAACCTTCTTTCTTCTCGATTGTTTTCCTCAAGTTTCTGTAGCCTTCAAAATCAGGAGGCACAGTATTGGAAGGCCAAGCCAATGAAGGACAAACCAGACAGTAAAAAGCGAGAGTGATAAGAAGGTAAAAATGAAACATGAGCTTGAAGACTTTAAAATAAATTTTAAAAGATATCATCAAAGGACAATACACAGTAAAAAGGCAATACATTTTGTATGAATAAAAAGTAAGTAGAAAAACAAGCAGCTTTATATCTAAGAAGACTATATATAAACTATCAGTTGAAGTTACTTAGCAATAAAATGTGAAGTCTCAATTTGTATAAGTAGTAGGAGTACAAAATGCCATTTCTTTTTAAAATTTGAAATGGATCAATTTTCTCAGTTTCCCACAAAGACCTACTTTCAATAATATCCTCTGCCTTTTAGACCTTTACAAAAGACCTTTTCATGGCATCATTAAAGAACTTCAAACAGTAATGCCTTTATACCAGAATATGAAATTACCATTAATGCTACATTCTATTTCTACTTGAATATATTACATGTGAACATCACTACATGAAAAAAATCCTGTTTCAAAATTACACATGAAATGGTATTACAGTCAAATGAATATGATATCAGTGAAAAAATGTAATTTCATCAACTGAAATTTAAAACCTCATCTCTGTACTAATATTAAAAACAATCAAAAGGACATCTAAGGCAAAGGTGGCAATAAAATGGGAAAGTAGTACTTTCCATTAGTAAGATTATAGTTTAATTAGAAAAGTATTAAAAACTACAAGTATGTACTTAAATGATTTGAAACACATTTACACAACACTGTGCAGAACTGGGCATCTTCACTCAATGGAATGTACTGAATGCCAACATTTGTCATGGAGACAAGAAGACAGATGTGCTAGACTCTGAAGAAGCAAAGAGCAACTTTGATACAGCCCACTTCTGCTCAGAATTTCAAACATGTTTTCCAGAATCATCAACATTTTACAACTGAGAGACTGAGTCTTAGATATGAATTATTTTATCAAGCCAGTTCTCATTTTAATTTTGTAACAGCATGTGCTCACATACGACTTTTATTTGTTGGCCTGTGATTGTTTTTCTTACATACTTATATACTGCTGTTACAAGAGGAGACTAGCAATCTTTCTGAGAAAAATAGCCAACAGAGTGATATTCACCAGGGATCAAAGGTGCGGTATAATGGCTAAAAAACTAAAGTAAAGCCGTTGCCTAAGAAATTTGTGTTGCTAGAGTTTCAACCTGACACCACTAAATACAAATATAATGCAGTCTGATGAATAAGTGAAGTTTTTATTTACAGTGTGAGTCATTTAAAGCTAGATATCCAAAAATATGGGGATAAATGTGTGAATCACAGATTTTCTTTATCCAAATACATAAAAAATGCAAAAATACTTTATTTTTAATCCAGGCTTATACTGATGATAATGAGGTACAATGGCTCAAAAGATATGTTTCATTGGCAAAGAAACAAAATTTCCTATTTTCAATGTGAAGACTTTTTGCCTTACACAAGAGAGTTATATTAAAATCTATGAATGATATGTGCTAATAAGTAGATGAACTTTAGATGCCTTCCCAGTTGCCTTTTTAAGAAACGCTTTGCAATCAATAGTTCAAAAAGACAGTAGAGACATAAACTGATAATCTGACACTTGTCCATAATTTAAAGTAGTTCAGTTCTTATTTCATTCAGTTACATTGTAATACTTCTGCATTGGGGGTGGAGGGCAGGAAGAGAGGCAGGTGCAAATCCTGCTAACCATTCTAAAACATTTATGTTATTGAAAAACAAGCAATATAATCTATCCAATTATTCTCCCATATTTCCTTCCTGTGTAGACCTATTTCACAGATTGACAGAAAAGGTACAAGAGCAAACCTTAAAACACCACATATTAGCTACTGGTTGTAGCTTTCATAAAGACTTTGATGCCAAAGAGGGTGAAACTTGGATGTAAAACAGACCCTTGATATCCACCTTGAACGCAGAAGCACTCACATAAAAATGACCCAGTTGCTGCTCTCCCTACCATAGCTACCAGAACCAAAAAGTAACACCACAAAACGAAGTAGATTAAAAGATATGGAGTAGATTCTAAAGAATCTGTGGATTCCGTGGGGGAGGAAAGAAAGCAGTTATGAGAACCAGGATGGCCTAGGAAAGTGGAACCCACAGGTCAAGCCCCAGACAAGTTTAGAAATTCTCGGCCAAAAGATGGTCAAAAAACAATTCTTTCCTCCATGACTTGTTTTTTTTCCCCCCGGTGGGGTTGCTGCCCCAAATTTTAGTCTTTGGATTAATGTTTCCTCTTTCAAAATTACAAACGACCCTAGTAAAGAAGCTTACTGGTTCTAAGTCATTTCCACTGGCATGAATTCCTTTTGTCAGATGGCTTTGCTCCCAAGCTTGAATGTAAAAAGATAAGAGAAAAGAGCAGATGATTCTGGAAGTGGGAGTACTCTGGAGTGGGCAGACTTACTCCCATCAGTAGACAGGAGTAAGAAAGAAGAACTAAGGCAGAAGCTCACATTTTCCCCACAGGTTGGCTACACCCACGAGAATGAAAGTTTCTTTCCCCTTTTCTGTCTTTTCCTATTCCCTTTCTCGAATTGTTGTCACCACTCTGTTAAATGGGTAAAAATCATTTTATGTGAGTGAGTTGGGAAACTTGGACACTATGTCTCTATAAACACTTTCTAGAGAAAAAAACTAGTTCAACTTCCAAACAATTTTAATTGAACTTACTGCATATGTAAGGCTGAGGCAGATTTTGTAAGGTCTCTCTGATAAATGAAATAAATGAAAATGAGGCCTGTAACATAATTGTACAAAAATCCAAAGAGGAGCAGTAGCCTCCAGAGAGTTCCTGTGGAGGACTAGTTGCTGATATCCACAAACCTGACGTCCTTCTTAACACTGCTGGGAATCTCTGTTTATTAACTGTTTCTACTCTTTGGCTACAGTGAGAGTTTACTTAAATTTTTAAAACAGAGACATTGAACTAAATGTTATTTGGATCTACAGCTAAAAGTTACTGATGACAAAATCTTTATCAAGCTTAGTAAAATAGTATTGGCTTTCATTTTTTTAATCCACAGCAAAGTTTAAATACTGTAATAACAAATTCTATTAAATTTTACAAATTGATATTTGTGGCAAAGTAAATTCATAAACTGGTTCTAAAGACGTATACAGTTATACAGTCTATGATACACAAGGACATTTGTCCTAGGTTGACACTACATTATATGTTTATTTTATAAAGACACACTATAGCATGTGTGTGATAATGCTTTATAAAGCATGTTGAAAAACACTGCATAGGAGCTATTACAGTATGTGTTCATTTGTTTTTCTCATTTTGAAGTTATCTTCCCCTTTTTTCACAGAAGATTAAAGTAATATCTCTCAATTTACTTAATCTGGCTTGTTCAGTTTTTATCAGAAAATTTTCTTTAATCTCATATAACTTTTTGTTAGAAAGTTAACTTTTTCTCATTTGGATTTTTATGTTTAAATCCAGTTACTTGATGAATTCTTAATATAAAATCTGCTATTATTTTTATATTAATAATTATTACATCTAAAAGAATCACTAAAATAGCCATAATTTGTCACTTTGTAATAACTATTTTATTCAATATTTTTATCTTGAATGATTGCAAAGCAATAAAGACAAATCCGAACAAAATATTTTTCCTTTAATGCTATTTATCAGTCAAAATGCTTACAACCCTGCCCTATCACAAAAATGACCTGCATCAGAGGTATTAGTTTGGGGTACCTATGGACACTACAAGAATGCCAAAAACTGCCTGTGTTTTCATTTCTTTTTTTAATTATTTATATCCAACAGTGACTGAGGTAATATCTCTAAATTTAACTCAAAAGGGAAGAGAGAATCAGCTCATGACCTTGAGTAATAAAACCTTGATTATACTTATTCGTGAACACCAGTCACCCAACCCTTTAAACACAAGTCATAACCTTTGATGTTGTGACCAACCAGGGAATTAGATTCTATATGTAAATGGGAAGTCATGTGCACAAGTCTCATTTTTATCCAAGCAGTATGTTGAATCACATTGGTTTCAATAGTTCGATAATCATTATTTCTGTTTCAACTGCCCTACCGACCAGGGACTCATTACAGATGTGTCAATGCCGCCATAACCAGCCGTCCACAGAAAACCCCTGCTAAGACATTAGCATCTCAAGGACACAGTTTCAACTGCGATGTCTCCTAACCACGGATGTGCAACTCCTTGTTTTAACTATTTTGATCTTTCCTTTTTTAACTCAAGGACACAGAGCAGAATTAATGTGAAGAACTTTATCTCCAATAACGTTGACCAACTCTTTTTATTTGATGGAAGAAATGTGTGGTTGCCTAAAATAAATTTCTAAATAAACCGAGCAAAGTGATGTAGAATAAATGTCAATAGTAATTCTACAAAGGGCACCCCTTGTAACAAATCATTTCACAATAAGATAGCTTTGCTTAGTTTTGAATATCTAGCCAAAAATGCTTAAAATTAATTTGACTGGCAAGTTCAAAATATAGTTGACTGCACTATAGAACCAGTATGTAAAAGTGTAAAGTATTTATGAGTATTTAACCACTCACATATTACGAGCGGTCATATTTTTATTTTCCTCCTCTCCTTTGCACCCAGTTGATTTCAGAAGGAGGTATTATCAGGATGCAAGGAAAAGACAGCCTAGAACAGTGGTGAAAAGCTGAGTAACTCCTTGTTGGAAGATTCAGATGATAAAGAACTTTCACATAATCAAATTAGAAGCCCTGCAGAAAATACTTGAGGCAGCAAATGATATTAAATGACAGTCTGATGGATTAGTTTAGCCTTTAGTTAAACTAATCTAGACAGGAATTAGAATATATCCATGAGACTATTTAATTGCATTAGAAAATGTGGAAAAAATGAAAACACTGAATTGTAATGATACAGCAAGCTTTGCAGAAAAGAAGGACAAATGGAATGCAAGAGCAGCTATTTGAAGAAATAATAAAAAACAGTCTCTAATAGTAATTTTACCTTGCCATTGTCTAAATAAAATTCGTTACCATAATATTATAAGTAACCTTTTTTTACATACAAGTAAAGATAAACTATTAAAAGCATCGGTGTAACTGTCGGCTAATTTAAATGGCATTTCAATTGTTAATATACTTATGAGACTATGTATACTCACTATAATCCCCAATTAAAGTATCCTGAAAACTAAAAACAAAATAGGGATTCATAAACCAGTGATTTTAAAAACACTACCTTTTCTTCTTCTTCTTTTCTTTCCTCTTGAGCTTTTCTAAATCTTTCTTAGCTAGATCTATAATTTCAATGGTGTCCCTGTCTGAGGCCAGGGTAGTAGGCGAGAAGGACGATGGTCCACTGAAGTAAGGTGATCTCGCTGTGGCTCTTGTCAAGCTTTTTCGAAGGTTCTCATTCACTGCTTCACTCTCTAATAATTTTGCCCTAGTGAATAAAAATATGTTAAACAGGAAACATTTTTTATTGTGGCAAAAATACATACCATAAAATTTACCACCCTAACCATTCCTAAGTGTACAGTTCTGCAGCGCGCCAAGTTCATTGACAGTGTTACAGCAACCACTGTCATCACCTGTCTGCAGAACTTCTTTATCTTCTCCCGCTGAAGGTCTGTGCCAGTGAAGCACTATCTCCTCATTCCCCTCTCCTCCCGGGCCCTGGCAACCACCATTCTACTTTCTGCCTCTGTGCAGCTGACTATAGCAGGAATAAATTGGCATTTTAAATGAGTTGTTTTGCATGCTAAAAAAAAGACCCCCAAACTGTCTTTCAATATTGCTATAAGGTAGGCTTTAAAAAAAATTAATGTGTTCACATACATTAATATTTAGGATATTTTTAATTCCCAGATTAAATAATTACAAATTTGAAATCACACTCTTTCTACTCAAAAGTACCAACAGTAATTAGATTACTTGCATTCTGGCCACCAGGCACTAGCTATCCTTGCTTTGTAAAGCCATCATTTAAACTTAAAATGCAGGGGCAGCATGGTTCTCAACCCTCCAGTCCCTCATTCATCATGCTGTAATAACATTCTCAAACCCTTGCAAAGAGTAGTCAGTCAAACTTGCCCCAAACTGGCTGAGAGACATCTGGCTCCTGAATATGTCATGGGAAAAGATGGTATCTCCAAGGAAACCCAAGTCTGATAATTGAAAACATTCTTTTGTTTGTTCAAGGGATCCAACTAATGACAGGAGAATAATGTATGTACTGTCAGTAATATGCAAAACCACAGAATGACAAGATCCTGAAACACCCTGGAATTGAGACTGAAAGGGATCTGGAGAGTCCTCTCAGCCAGTCCCTTTACCCTGATTTGATTTGAACCAGCAAGAACACAATTATCTACTTCAATGTAATATATTTCCAAGGTAAATTGGCAAATGTGACCGGGATAGGGCTATAAAGAGAAAATGCTACCCACTACCTCTGCCCCAAAACTGTATTACTAAGCACTTTTGCCATATGCGCAAATATTTCAGAAGAAGATGCTAGATTATTTGTAACAATTAAACTCTCAAAGGCACAGTCAGCTCTGTGTTTTTCATTATTTACCAAAATTATTCATGACACTGCTGAAACCAGCCAGAGACAGAGTGTATATAAATCAGTGAATATACATTTCAAGTTAATGTTTTACTAATTCTTTTTTTATAGTTATTCAGTTCCAGCTGTCCTGCCTTTTTTTTTCCATTGCTCTCCCCTGCCCCACCCCCTCCAATCCCACAGTCAACACCCCTGCAACATCTTACTAGTTCTTTAATGAAATTGTTTTATTATATATCTGGTGTTACATATGAGCAGAAAACAATTACAATATTGTAAATGGTTAAGTAGCTGTGTACCAACTTCTAGGTTAAATGACTTCAAAATTAGTTTAAAGAAAATCATAAATACAGAACTGCCCTTTTTTTTTAAAACAAGAGGGCAACCTAAGTATAAAAACTCAGCTTAACTATAAAAACTCCATCAAGCCCTGACTGGTAAGGCTCAGCTGGTTGGGTGCTGTTTCGTAAAGTGAACGGTCACTTGTTCATTCCCCATCAGGGCACATGCCCACGTTGTGGGTTTGGTCCCCAGTCAGGGTGCATGTGAGAGGCAACCAATAGATGTTTCCCCTCTCGAATCAATTTTTCTCTCCCTCTCTTTCTCTTTTCCTCTCTCTAAGATTAAATAGATAAAATGTTCAAAATATAAAAACTGACTCAAAATGTATAATTTTCCATATTTTCAATACCTATCATAAAGCTTGGTGCATAATAATGAATATTAATAATAAAGGAAAATATAATAAACTAATTGTCAATAATGACCTATCTTTTTTCAAAGTTAAAACACAGTTTTATTTGCTCATTTATATATACTGTTGTGTGTTACTATTCCAAAACTTTCAAACACAAGATACTTAATAATATAGACAATAAATGACTTGTCTTTTAGTTGGCTGATTTACATGACAATCAGACAACTTGTGTTTTTTTTTAATACCTTATTTTAAAAGTTTGTGTTTGTCCCTGGCTGGTGTGGCTCAGTGGATTGGGCATCAGCCTGTGAACCAAAGGGATGCTGGTTCAATTCCCAGTCAGGGCACATGCCAGGGTTGTGAGCCAGGTCCCCAGCTGGGGGCGCACAAGAGGCAACCAGACGTTGATGTTTCTCTCCCTCTCTCTCTAAAAATAAATACAATCTTTAAAAAAATAATAAATAAAAGTTTGCATTTGGCAGGAGCATGTTCAATGTTTTTTCAATCCTAGTGCTGATGAAGGCTAAACCCTTTAGGGCTCACCTCTGCTACATTAGCAGAACCTGCTTTTTATACAGGCTGTGGAGACAGCACCTCTCCGTTACCCTTTCTTTCTCTTCACACTCACCCACCCACCCACTTGCTGCCTGCATTTCGTCTGACAGGAGACTAAACAGTGAGGCCTGAAAGGAAGTACACAGACTCCCACGGGAAGGAGCAGACTGAGGGCTGGCCTCCCAGTTCTGTCACTCACTAAATTTTGGACCATGGGTCCCTAAAAGCCTCCACTGTTCCCTCTGTAAAATGGAGACGAAATATATATACTTCCCTAGAATTATTAGGAGGATCAATGATACAATGAATTTAAACTCACCTGACTGACAGTGTAATTAACAAATAATAACTATTGTTATCAAAAAGTTTCTAACAATATAATCATCTAACATAGGGAATTAGTTAAATTAATTAAAAACAGAAGATAGTACTACATGGAACCATGCAGAAATCACGTTACAAAAACAGTTAATAATATTTTCAAAATACTCCTAATATCTTGTCACATATCAAAGAATGAATAGCAAAGCAATAAATACCCCCTAATATCAATTTTGCTAAAGTATGCTTTGAAAAAATATTAAAGAGATATACCAATATGTTATCAACTGTTTTAGGAATGGTGGAAATGTGAATGATTTTAATTTTGTTTATACTGCCTTATATTTTCCAAACGTTCTACAAAAATTTAAATCCCACCAAAACAAGAATTAATTAATGACTCCTACTAGTTCACAAAAAATACTATGGCATGTAAGTTATTAAAAGGTAAAAAGGTAACTAGGATTATTTTACAATGAGAATAATAAGACTTAAAATATAGACATTTCTTTCTTTTTATTTTTTCTAAGATTTAACTTATTTTTAAGAGAGAGAGGGGAGGGAGAAAGGGAGAGAACCCCAATGTGAGAGAGAAACATCAACTGGTTGCCTCTCACACATGCCCTAGCCAGGGACCAAAACTGCCACCCAGGCATGGGCCCGGACCAGGAATTGAATTGCCAACCCTTTGCTTTGCAGAACAACGCCGAACCAACTGAGCCACACCAGTCAGAGCAAAATATAAACATTTCCAAGTGACAATACATATATCTGTGTTAAGTTTAGGAAGCTATAAATAAATGCCTTTCTAAGACCAAGTTTGGACAGAAACATGAATTGGAGCAGGATCTAGTAAATAAAAACAAAATGTGAGAACCTGAAGAAAAATAATAATAATGTGTCCGGCCTGTAGAGTGCTTGTGAATTGAAGAACTTTTAAACCCTGTGCTTTCTTTGAGCTCCACAATAATATGCTGAGTCAAGCAGGTATTAATTACCTGATTCTTACAGATGAATTAACTAAAGCTCAGAGATTCAGGTCACTTTCCCAAGGTCACGCACTTATTAATAAATGAATAAATTTTGAAACAAGAAGGTAATCCAATTCAAATTCAAAGCTTGTTTATGCTTATACGTAAATTATTTTTTACACTGTAAATCACAGCGCTGGCTTTCTAGAAGAGCACTCCTCAGGAATGAGACACACTAGTTAAAGAACCATCAGAGAAGAGTTGGGAAAATGGAACAAGCTACTAACCTATACCAAGAAAGATTTGGTCATTGATTGAATTCAGGCCCTGCCTTCTCTCTGTTCTCTAAACAGCTTAAAGAATGGTCTTAATGCAAGAACTAGAAGAAAGAAATATTAAATGCTGCTTTTAGTCAGTAGGAGGAGCAGAAACGATTCAGTCAATTTTCTAGGAAATAACATTAATGAGGCCATTTGTCCGATGGTGCGCCAAGCTTACGTAAGACCTCAGAATAACAGGGTGGGAGAGAAGAAACAGAGTCCAATAACCAGAGCATGAAATCAGCCTTCAGAATTGAGCAGTGCCAAGGAAATAGAAGAGAAGCAAGCTAGGAGCAGGAAGTATCTTCAGGTACTAAATGACAGATTATTAGCTGTGCCTCCAAGAATGGTACAGACAAGTTCTACAGAGTGAGGAAAGAGAAGTTCTAAAGTGGGAAAGAGCATTGCCCACACAGGATAGAAAGGCAAGTCCAGGTGGCTGCTGACCAGAACCAGGAACCAATGCCCCAGAGGACTCCGTCAAAAGGTAAAGCTTGGAGATATAAGTACAGAAAAAAAAGTAATGGTTAATAAAGTAACTCTATTTATTGCCACATCAGATGTCTTCTCATTTCTTTTTGCTATTTAATAAAACACCTAAGCGATCCAGTGTGCCTTGCAGTGGCAGAAACAGTGGCAATGTTCCTCATCTCCGTTCAAGAATCTCTAGACTAATCAGGAGAGAAAGGGGAAGAGAACACAAATACAAGTTGGAGAAGTGTTGGGAGAACTGTGAAATATGATCTCTCGCTTGGTCATTTTCTGCAAATGGGTACAAAAATGAGACCTGAGCTGCCCAGATGCTCCCCATGCAGCAGACTATAGTTTTATCTCAAGAGAAAGTAGCTGAGCAGCAGGGAAAACCATGGAACCTAAGCAAAATACAAAAATGATTAGTGTCCCCGATCTTCTTTCTGACCCCTACTTCCCCAGTCGGGGCTCAGAGGTCTTATCTATATTCCCATACCAGGGGATGGCACTCCTTTCACTAATTTCTGTCATTCCATTTATGACATGTGATTATTTATCTAAGTTGCCCCACCCAGACTGTGAACTTGTTTATGTCACACTTGCTAAGTCCATGGCATGGTGCTCAGCATACGGTGAACATTTGTAGTACGTGTGTGAAATGTGAGTGATGAATGAGCCTCTGTCCAGAGAGGCAGGCAAGTATGTAGGGATGCAGTGATTCACACATAAAAAGCAGCTGGAGAAGCAGAAGGGAACAGAAGGAATGGGAGATACAGAAAATTAAAGATGACTTATGGGTGCTGACCATTCCCAAACGGTGAGGGGTGGTACCAAAGGGCACTTCGTCAACCTTTAAAGGCATCGATTATGCCTGTTCTGTATGTCGGGTTAGATAAGCTCCCACAAGGGGTATGAAAACCAGAGTAGGAAGATGACATGGGGATGTAATATGGGAAGAAATGGAAGGAAAGGTTTTTGGAATGTGATATTATGGAAAGCCAAATACCTATTCCCCTAAAGTTAACCTGACCAAAGGGCTGAAATATCACCATTAACAGTTACTGAACAATAAGTCCAACAAATAGCAATATTAACAAATCCAAAATGTGTATTTTATATCACAGAACATGAACTGTACCTGAGATCTTCAATTTCTTTGATATAATTGTGAATCATATTACTAATCTCCTCATTTCCTTCCCCTGCAAGATAAAATATGAACATAAGAATTTCTTTTCAAAGCTTTAACAAAACATACTGGGAGAAAAAAAAGTTATGGAAATAAAATAATAATTAAAACAATTTATGCAGCACATTTCCAATCCTTATCTATATAATATAACAAACAGAAGGCATATTTTGTTTCTGTAAGAATGTATTATTTACAAATAAAGTACTTAACTTAAAATCACAAGTTGTACATACACAGACTGACATTTCTACTTCATGTGTTCATATGCTAATTAACAAACACAAAGAATGTCCCCGGCCCTCCGAAGGCCAATTCATCTCTCATTCATCCCACCCTGCCCGCATACCTGCTCTGGCAAGAACTTGGTTGGCCTGATCACTAACAAGCTGCGTGATTCTGGTCCTCAAAGCATCAACTGTCTCTTGCATGGCTTTAATTCTTACACGCAGATTATTATTTTCAGTCTGTAGCATAGCATTCTCATGAAACATGTCATTGATGCTTTCTACACCCTCTTCATCAATTATTCTTTTACCCTAGAAAAGAAAGATATTTCCCTGTTGATCGAGGAGCCTTGAACACACAAGAAATTTGTTTAAGGATATTACAGGACTATGAAGTTCTACAACCAAGAGCCCTTTGTCTTAACAGCCCCAAGGCAAAACAGTTCCTTTTCCCTCCACTGCATCCCTCAGCGGTGTCACTAAAGAAGTTGATCGAATAGGAAGCCTTTTCAAACAAGCGGCTGGTCAGGTTAACAGGTAAGCATGATTAAGGAAAACTAGAGAATTCTTCCTTCACAGGAAGGAGGCCACTATCCTGACAGACAAGAGGCTCTAGAGATGTACATATGCAAACCATCACCAAAGGCATCCATCACTGTGTTCGCAAAACGTATCACTAAATTCAAAGTCAAACCCACTAGCTTACCGTTTTGTACTCCATGAGCTCCATCTGAAGTCGCGTGATCTCACTGCGGAGTGCATTGATCTGCTGACTAGCTCTGTCCTGATTGACCATCACCTTGTTCTTGATATTTCTTGCTCTATTGGCATATTTCAGGGTATTTAAAGTTTCCATAAAATCTCTGTCTGAAGGGCTGACACAGGCTATCATGATAGTTTGGCTGAAAGTTACAAAAAATAATTAGGTTTATGGATAAAAGTAAATAAAACTTGGAATAATCATTTTTAATTTCTGCCCTTTGAATAATAACGTCTCTTCAAGATACCAAAAGATTGATACTAGTAACTTAAACATAAAAACAAATTTAAAAGTCCCCCAAGCTTTAAGACTATCTTAAAGAAAAAGATTTTGTTTACTTAAGTAAAATTGGGAAAAATAAACTTATATTATCCTTCTTTGATCCATAGCAACTTGAGAAAGTATAAATACATATACTTATTTCTCATCTCTTTACACTAAAAATTGAGGCAATGCACAGAGAATAATTCTAAAATTCAATCTATGTGCCAAATGAAATTCAAAAATCATTTTCTCATCATCTACCTAATATTTGAAGATTTAAATTTTTTCTTCCTTTTATTTAATCACTTATAACCTGATTTTTGTTGTCAGCAAAATATTTTGCATGGCCCTGGCTGGTGTAGCTCAGTGGATTGAGCTTGGGCCTGCGAACCAGACAATCGCAGTTCGAATCCCAGTCAGGGCACATACTGGGTTGCAGGCCAGTTCCCTGCAGGCCAGTTCCCAGCAGGGGATGCACAAAGGCAACCATACATTCATGTTTCTCTCCCCCTCTCCTTCCCTTCCCCTCTACAGATAAATAAATAAAATCTTTAAAAAAATATTTTGCATGGAATCCTATTACCTAAACAAGAGTTCCAATAAACTTAAGATATCCATATGTTTTATACTATAAAACATCACTTGTAATTGAGTGGTCCAACTTTCACGGTTTCTGGCGATATTACACATGAACAATTGGAAACGTTACTTTATAAGAAAAATGAATTATTTTACCAACCAAAGAATAGGATAGTAAAATGCATAATATGCCTCAGCTACTGTCTGCCAGTAAAACAGACCAGGGCATTCTAATCAGCTCACACATTCACTGAAAAATGTACAGAACTGCAATTAAAGGGCTAATTACCCACCCTGGGAGGGATCAATTGATAGGGATCGTGCCTATCAATTCTAGTCTATAGCCTCCTCCTCTTCTGCTTCCACTGCTGCCTTCCCCCAATAATCTAACACAGCACTCGTAGTAACCCCTTTTAAAAGAGGTCCCATTCTACCCACAGTTTCCTCTTTGTCAGCTGTTGCTTCTCCTTATTTATCCTTACACTTACTATTATTCAAGGTTCAACTAAAGTATTGTTTAGTCCAAGAAACCAACTGTCAGTCTGGCTATATTTTTTTCCTACTTCCTCACATCCTTTGCATACCTCTTTTTTGTTGGTTTTATTTATTATTATTATTATTATTATTATTATTATTGCGAACTTCTATAGACCCCAACTCTTAGACCTTAAACTCCTAGAGGTCAAGAATTATTAATTTTGTCAGTAGACATTGTATGACACAATATTTGAGACACTGCGTCATTAAAAATTGTGGTGTATGTTGTGCACATAATATTTATTTATTTATTGGAGGTTGGAAAGTTAAGATAATTCATGCATCTCTAGGTCTCTTTTGATGAAGAAGATAAAGTAATCAAGTAAGAAAAATGATTATAGACACTGATTAGAGAACAGGACAACTCAAAGTGTAGACCCTGGTCCAGCGCCAGTCTGCAAACTATTTGTTACTAGTTCATAATAAGTACAGGAATTGAAAATGAGCATTTTAAAATTTTGGAACATTTGGGCTTGCTATAATCAATGAACTCATTGAATAGTGTATAGACCAGTTCAAATGTTTTATAATTCACATAAGTCACAAATGGGGCAAGCCTAGTATAATCATGCACAATATTAACCCACCACAAATAGGGGATGGAGGAGAAAAAGAACCTGTTCTTCAAAAATATTTTGAAAACTACTGGGGTCAAGTGCTTAAGGAAAATAGGGAAAGTCAAGAATGAGAAGAGCTAAGGTCTATTATAAAGGAAATAGTTCATATATTAGATAAAACTCAAAAGATACAAATTTTAAGAAGGGTTATATTTATGAAAAACTCAAAAAACATTAAAGCTGTTTACTTTTAAGGTTTATATAAAACCACATATCTGTCTTAAATGAGACCACATCATTTATATTATTCTATATCAAGGAGGAAATTCATCACAATGTTAACAGGTAACAAAAATACAATTTTTTCATGATTCTTATTTTTCTGTAGTTTTCAGAATTGTTGCTATAATCTTGTTATAATATATTAAACATTATAAATATATTAAATCCAGCTTACCACTAAAATCTCTAAATTATATGCATAAATATATGCAACTTGAGTCCAAAAATATCTTTGATCTAATTTTTCTTTTAAGAGTAACTTGTACAAACTTCACAAAATGAAGGTATTCCATTTTCTGAAGCTTATAAAAAGTATAAGGCCTTTGAATTCAGAATGTGATGCTCACTAAGGCTGGGGTCAGAAGAGGACTTCTTGTTTGAGAAGTGACCATGGAGTAGGGAAACGGATGAGGAGTATCTTAGCTACAGCCTGCCTATAACTCAGAAGGAATTCACAATCCACAATGCAAATGTCATAGCCAGCTTACAGGGCAAGCAAACTTCCATAACTATTGAAGTATTCAAAAGTACTGAAACTTGTAAGGAGCCGCTGTTTGTCATCTACAGGAAAGGGCCACAATTTAGCAACCTTGAAATATTTATAGGGCTACAATTTAGCAAACTTAAAAAATGCATATTTGGCTTAAAAAGCAAAAAAAAAATTGCCCTGATGTAATTAGACCCAGACTGATATTGAAAGTCAGGTGAAAATACAGAAGAAATGTGCAACAATGGGAGCAATATTGCACCCACACAAGCGATACGCTGGAATAGAGATGAATTCAGACAATGGCAACACTACAATAAAAGGAAGAAATACAAAATGATACTGTTGAATTCTATAAAACAGAACTTTATTTCTAAACCATTCTTCAATTTCAAACCTAGATTTAATATTATCAAGACTCTTTGAGTAATACTTACTCAAAAAGAAAGTTTGCAAGTTTAATTAACCGATCATTTTACAGCATCTAACAATCCTTTCAATAACCATGATGTTAGAGCATTGAAAATACTGTAAAATAGAGTCTGGTAACTGTAATAGAATAAATAAAAATGAAATGGTTGTAACTTGCTGAATTGTATTGTTTGAATTTAAATGCCAAAAATACTTCTAGTTGTAAAGCCAACATGTCAATGTTCATAAAAAAGTAAAGAATTACAAAAGAAGATGTTTAACTGATGAAACATAATTCAAAGTATAGACAAGGAGGAATATTAGTGATATGGACAAAGCGCCCTACATTTCATTCAGCTGACATTTTAATAAGTTTTACCACACACAAAAAATGTTTAATTTTTAGGAGACTTTTTAAAGTGGTATAAAATATATTTAAATTACTTTGTATTTACTTAGACAGCATTTACTTTTCTACAAAGTTTTATCAGGCATATGCTATGCACCAAGCACAAGTAAAAACAATGATAAAGTAGAAAGAGCAAATGCTATGGGCTTCATTTATAAATTAAGTGACTTTGAATAAGTTAATTAACCTCTCTGGATTTCAATTTTCCTATCTACAAATTAGGAATAATAATATCTACACCTCAAGGAATGCTGTAAGGACTATGTGAAGTAACTACACATAAAGGACTCACGCATTCTTCATACTTAATAATTATTAGTTCCTCATTCTATTGATTTGTTTTATAATAAAAAAGTCCTTACAAGTCACTCTGCAAACTTTAAAAATAAAAAAGAATTTAAGTTCACGAATATGGATGGATAATCATGTATGCGCACCTATTGCCCCCCAGGGAGTCCTGCAGTAGTCTCGTCAGCTTCGAGTCCCTGTAGGGGACATGGGTGGCCCTCTTGCTCCTGTCTCCCAAAGCACTTATTACGTTGCCCAGTGCCAGCTAAAACAGAGAGAGAAAGAAAATGTACTAATTATAACACCTTTAAATAACAAAAGCTTATGGAGAATAATGTGGAGATGACAGAATGGAAAACATTTGGGTTTGGGGGTTTTTTGCATTTATATTTTAATGACATAAACATCAAAGTTTTCTACATTACACTATTAAAAATTGACACAAAATTTGGCTAAAACTGACTGAACATGTAGTACTAAATGCATATATATGTATACATATCCATAATTCACAAATACTTAAACTTCTATTCACAGATTTTCTTTAGACATAGATATAAGATTGGTGACTTTTAACCATTCCTGAATTACCAGAGCATCAGGTGTGTCCTTAGAAAACTGTCAATTCATGTTGCAAATTCTTCTCCTCAATTGAATAAAATGTTTTAGTTTAACAGTGTCATGAAACTTTCTTGTTGCAATATAGCTACCTCAAGGGAAAGACATTCTCCTTTAACCAACATAAAAATATCTCTATGATGCCTCTAAACAAAGTATTCTTGATGCAAGGACAGCTGTCTTTAGAAATAAAATGAATCTATGAGCTAAGCACCCAATATTGAAAAAATCTAAGTCAAATTACAGAACTCTTTAGACACTCCTCTGCCACCCCTACTGTTTTTCTTACGGTCACTGGCACCTACAGCAGAGGCATTAGCCTAAATGCTGGCCACACTTCCCTTCAGTGACACAAGCACCTACAACCATGTCTTTTTAGGGCCAATGGGTCTTGCAGAGAGTGGGCATCAGCAACACATTGCGTCTCTGCCCCCCTTTTCCAGAGAGGCTACAGTTTTAACCACTAGCCACACTGAAACTTTACCAGATGTATCTGACTGGGTTTCAATAGCCTGAACAGGAAAACAGACCAATGCTTTTTGTCTTCTCCTGACAGCACAAATGTAAGTAACAGAATGATTTTATGTCCTAAAAAATTTGGAGCAACGCACAAAGTCCAGGATCCTAGTCACCTACTTTAACACAAACTTCAACTATATAATGGGAACACGAACATGGGTACCGAGATGGAGTCGGGATGTCCGGGTCTCGCTCATCAGCCTCAGTTGCTAAATCCCCCACAGAAGGGTTGTAATAATATAGAAGCAAATACTGGGCAATGGCAAAATAGGAACACATGATTGGAGCCCCCAGCTCTAGGACGGGACAGAGGGAAGCAAAACAGAAAACATGCCTTGACCCTGAGAACATCACAGACACGTAGGGTTATCATTACTTTTATATAGGAACAAATGTCCAATTTTATAATGAAGTCAACAAGAATAAAAGATTTGTATAGAGTCTAAAAAATTTCTTCCATATAATAGAAGCTTTATACTAACAATTACAAGGTGCTTTCCAATCAAAAACACCACTAGGTGGCATGGTATTAAAGTTAATTCCTAATATAACCTAGAAAAGTTCTCATTTTGAAACAATCTACTAAAAAACATTGATTATAATATTCAAAATAATATCTTAGCAAAATAAAGCATTAGCAAAAGAAGGTTAGTTTCAAGTCACCTCATTCAAGTTAAACTTAAATGTTGATTTTGACAAAAAATTTTAAATGTGTAATTTTTAGATTATTTTCTACAATATTTCTACTATTTCTAGACATAGCATAAAATTTAATCCAACTAAATTTACACACATAAAGAAAGTTTGCAATGTGAATAACTAAAAAAAAATTCTGTAATGTGGGGAGATCAAAATTCAGTGCACTACGCCTCAGCTTCCACGTTTACTGTAACTCTCCTTTCTCGGCTCAGTGCGTGAGGATTTCCACTTTGTTATTAAGTATTTCAAACCAGGAGAGAACAATGGGAAATATCTGATATACTGTTAGTACAAAGCCTTAGCCTTTGTCTTACAAGTCCGCAGTTGATGGAAATGCCTTCCTTTGCCCTCTCGCCGGTGGCTCCAGTACGCTTCAGCCTTTCTGATCCTGCCAGATCAACAAAATGGAACTTCGCAGTCAGGGTTTCAAATTCATTCATCTGTGATGACTCAGAAATCACCTTGTTATCAGTAGCATTTTCCTGCAATTGAGGAAAATAATTGAAAATACTTTTATTAATGTGATACTAACTATCCTCAAATCCCATCTTCCCTTTGTATGTGTGTGTGTGTGTGTGTGTGTGTGTGTTCAAATAACTATAAATGCCTAAAAATGTCTGCTGGCAGTTAGAAGCTTAGACAAAGGCAGAAAGAAGGCTGATGGTCAGAGCCCAGGTGTCATGACCTGAGACTCTGCTTATGCTGATAAAGGAACAGCTGCAGCACACAGTCCTCAGAGGGAAGCATCTCAGGTGACTTCTTCTGTCACCATATGGTCTGGTTTCTGCAGACACATATGCATTTTTTTATTTCAAAATCTTATAGTTAGCCCACTTCAGCTTCAGCTGGATCAGAGAGATCTCATTAGGAAAAGAAATAACTAAACAAACTAAACTTGGTTCAAGTATACACTGTTTCCTGGGATGTATGTGATTTAGGGACATGAAAGTTTAAGAAATGAGGACTGCCCTGGTTGGTGTGGCTCAGTGCCTTGAGCACTGGACTGGGAATGAAAGGGTCGCTGGTTCTGTTCCCAGTCAGGGCACACGCCTGGGTTGTGGGCCAGGTCTCCAGTAGGGGGTGCTTGAGAGGCAACCACACATTGATGTTTCTGTCCCTTTCTTTCTCCCTCCCTTCCTCTCTCTGAAAACAAATAAATAAAATCTTTTTTAAAAAAGAAATTAGACCTAATAATAACTCACAGCATCTAGTTGGGGACACATTCTGGTTTGACACAAGTGAATGGTAAAAATGGCATGTGAGCGAGAGCTCTGAACGTTCATCTGGGTACTAGCAGTGGTTCGGGATAAAGCACCCAGCTTCAAACACTGCATCATCTGGAAAAGGGAAGGAGAGAAGGGGGTTACACGAACAACATTTAAGCAAGACACCATACAACCAGAAGTCTGAGCTAATGGCGGAAGCCCACCATATTAAGGGATGTAAAGGACGTGGAATCACATATTGTTTTAGTTACATGCACTTTTTGAACTGAACTTCTCAGTATAATAGCGTATTATTTTTTAAACAGGAGAAAACACTAAGATTCCATTGTTTGCCTTTTGCTGACAGTTGCAGCTTCCATTCCAAGCTGTAACAGAAAAACACTTTGAAACAAACTGAGCAATAACTTGAATTACTTAGGCTATTCTGTATCTTCTGTCAAAATATTTTTTGCAACTTTTCTTAACAATCTCCCTTTAGAAGCCACAATACAGTGTGATGGCAAAAGGTGCACAGGGATTGTGGTCCCATCTGTCGTCTTCAATTATTTAACTCTCTTTTTCTAGCTGTGAAGAAAACTACACATCCATTGCCTTGGCTTCTTTTGATGCTAAAATAAATGAACTGACTTTATCATAACTGACATTTTTTAATGACAACAACTTGATGTAAAAATATGAGGAAAAAGACAAGGTTTTTACAAGATGTCACACTTAAAATACAAATATCATATCTTGATCTTAAGCAAACTACAAGAAAAGCTGAATATTAAACGAAGCCAAATATGCTGTATTTTAACTATAATATTAAAATCACCTCTGATTCTGTATTCACAGTACGTGTTGTGACGCCCACAGTATAAATTCCTCCGGTTGAATCTTCATGAATTCTTATATTCGACTTTTTATTTTTTGCATCAATATCACGTGTGGTATCGAATAAGTCAAGGACCTCTTCATTATACAGCTATTAAAAAGAAGTATTATAAGTTTCAATTTAGAAGAAACTGCCTCAGACTGTAATAACACACATTGCATGATGCTCTCCTGCAAATATATCTTACAGGTTCTTCAGAATATGGTAACACAACTTTCTTCAAAATAACAGATGAAAAGGAATGAGGCAATTGTTATTACAAATTCAAATGCATGCCAGGTTTCTTTATAAGAATAAGAACAGTAAATGATGTAATCATGACTAATAAGTTCAGGGCTAGCTAAAATGATGTACTGCTCCTTTGCAAGAGATAAACAAATATTTATAAATACAATCAAACTCTAAGAAATATGTACCAAATATAGACAAGCCCTAATTAAGTCTAGAGAAGGTTTTAAGAATTTTTACTCCTTGAGCTAAAAATATATTTCCTATTGCCTTGCAACCTTTCTTAATGTATCTAAAAATTAATAGTATTAATATTTTACAGGGTGGGCAATGGGATATCAGTGTTTGTGTGTCACTGGTGGGTGACGAGATTGAGCTACCTCCTTAGAAGAGGATGCACACACCAGTTTTCTCTCAATATGCTTTTAAAAGTCACAATACCTAACAATAGTTGGGAGGGTAAATGGAAAAATAGAACACTTTTTTTCTTTTTTATCATTTAGTTTCCTTGCTTTTGGTTTTTTTAAATATATTTTATTGATTATGCCATTACGGTTGTCCTATTTCCCCCCTTCATTCCCTTCCACCCTGCACACCCTCCCCCACCATCCCTCCCCTTTCCTTTATGTCCACGTGTCACAAGTTCTTTATTTCGGTTTTTACTAAATTAGGAGGTCTATTAAAAGCAGCAGTAAGAAAACTGACATTAATTTGAACGTTTCATGAATGAGCAAAATGATTAGCTCAGGTAATCCTGACTAGAACTAGACTGGAACACTCTGAACCAACCACCCAGAGCTCCAATGTCACCGTTCACCTAACTGCTATACTGCTCATGACCAATGTGTCCTCTTACTGTCACGTCCCTCCCACCAGACTAAACTGCCCTAAATGAATCCAAACCTGCCCCAACCTTTGGGCATCAAAACATCTGCCTATCCTTGCAGGAATACCAGTATCTGCCGACGGGTCACTGCAACAGCCTCAGTTCTGCTAATCCTCCTGTTCTCCACGCCCTTTCGCTGAGTTCCCAGCACTCTGTGAGTCTGCCTACTACACAATGGTAATTACAGGATACAGTCGGATTCTGAAATGAGTATTATTAATTGTTTTACTCTATGGACACCTGTCAAATGCTTATAAACATAAATGCCAACAAGGATACTTATTATACCTATGACCTAATGTTAATTTGAGCACTATGCACAAAACACTGTACTAGAAGCCAGATGCATAAAATCACAAAATCTATGGTGCTAGAGGCAAGATTTAAAGGAAATTAATGATACAATTAGTCTTTTACCTCTAGGAACTGTGCATTCACTTTAAAATCTGGAGGAGGAAGCCCATTTTTCATCGCAGCGTGCTTTTTTTCTTCAATACTCTTGAAAAGGTGTTTAACAGCACGAGAAATAATACCTTGTTCTTCCTCGATGATGTTAACATCAAATCCTGTTCCCATTGTGTACGTTTTGCCAGCTCCAGTCTGAGTAAAGCAACAGAGAAAACTGTGTCTGCTTGATTTTAATAGCAACAAAGATGAAAATGCAACCAAATCGACACATCTGAAAGGTTACAATTTCTACAAAAGTAATTTGGTACTTACTTGTCCATAAGCAAAAACGGTTGCATTGTAGCCTTCAAAACAACCTTCAATTAGTTTTTCTATGCATTGCATGTAGATCTGTTCTTGCTGGGAGTCAATGTCAAACACATAATCAAACGTGAAAGCTTTGTCTTTCCCTAGGAAGACCTGAGGTTCTCCTGGTGTGACAGATGTACAAATATGGCATCCTTCAATCTTTTCTTTGGCAAGTTGTGGTCTTATTCTGTGGGAAATAATCAAGCAAAACTAAGATAAAATAAATAGGAGAAACTTAAAAAACAGGACTTGAAAACTCCTGGCCAAATCTTTTAAAGACATGTATGTAATCCACTCCTGCTCCTTCAGTTGAAAAGTTTAAACAAATTAAACTGAGCAAATTTCAGTATACGTAACAATATCCAAAAAAATCATGAACAAGAGGAAATTCATTAAATACTTTTGTGGGTGAATTTTTTCTCCAACTCTGTAAGAAGTGAAGACTCAGTTAAATCATTCTGCTACCAAAGTGCCATTTGCTGTAATTCACCCTAGGATTTTGCTTTCTCCCTGTTTGACACACAGCTATGCTGTTCTCTTTATTTCCAAGGATATCTTGATGCCCTTTACGGGCCTGCTTTTGCAAACTCTTCACCAATGGTTCCCAAACTTATGTGAACATATCCTTCTGTCATGTTAACATGTTTAGGCATACTCCCACCATATATGTGTGTATGCACTTACTTATGTGATATGCATATATTTATATGATTTATATGTATATGCACTTATTTATGTGATTTATCATATATTATACACAAAAGCAGAATTTTATAAAGAAATTAAAAAGAAATACAAATAGAAGTTCCAGTATTTTCTCTCCAAAACCCAGTGGGTCATGATGTAATATCCTGGGGCATCTTCTCCCCACTTGGAAGACTACAGCATTATACTCATCCTACACCCACCCAAGTCTACTCCAGACTCTTCCTCTTCTGCCTCTCTTCCTAATCTCAAGGTCTATTTCTATTTTTAAGAAGGAAAGTAAATATGATGAAATGTTAACGGCACAACCCAAAATCCAGCCCTATTCTATTCACACTGTACACAGGACCATCCTGGACACACACATCACTGACGTACTCTACCTGGGCTTTCTAAGAAGGTGCTGTTTGCCATGAAGAAGGAGAAGCCACTTAAGGAACAAAGTAAAGACACCCAGTGATGGAAAATGGAAAACAATAAAGATAGAGTAAAGAAAGAATTTTCCAGCATTCTGGTCCCACATTTTCACTTTTTCAGATATAGACACTAGGGTCTATGGAAGTGGAACCAGTTCGCCTATTTACTATAGAGAAAGCCACGCCTAAGCACAGATCTCCTGAGTTTCAGCCCTGTCCTGTTCACCAGGATGAAGGATAGGAAAGCCAGTACTGAGAAGGGACTAAAGTTCTGCAACCCTGGTTATCTAAAATAGAATACTACAAGGTCTGTCCGTAAAGTATCCAGCCGTGTGCTATGACAGAGACATTTGCTGAAGATACAAGATACAAGATACACTGCACATAGGACAATGATGCCCCAGTCCCCTTCAAAGTAGACAACTTGGGACCTCACACAGTTCTCCCGGCATCTCTTCCACTGGTCAAAACATAGTCTTGATCTTGCTGTAACTTTACCCCTCCTTCAGGTGTGGAGAGAGAACCAGACAATTTCCATCGGGATGACTGGGCCTGCATTTCTGGATCACAGCCATAGACCCAGCATTTATCTCCATTATGACCTTCTTGAGGAAATCTGGTTCACTGGTAATGGTTTGAATCAAGTCATTAGCAACTGCAGAACAATGTTCCTTCTGCTCTGTAGCAGAAGCTGTGGAGCAAATTTTGCCACATGTTTCATGACAAGATCCTGTGTCAAAATCTCAGACACAAGCTTTCAGAATCCCCAGATGAGTTTCTAGTTCTCGCACTGCCAGTTGCTGATCTTTGTTGATTGCAGCCTTTACATGTTCAACATTCTCAGGTGCTCTGCTTGTTACAGGCCTTCCAGAACATGGATCACTTCCATCAGATTCTTGACCATCTTTGAAGCATTTGTAGTTGCAATGCCCTAGCTAGATGGCTCGGTGGGTTAGAGCATCATCCCAATGTGCATGGTTGCAGGTTCAATCCCCAGTTAGAGTACATACAGGAGGAAACCAATGAATGCATAAAGAAATGGAACAAAAATTGATCTCTCTGTTTCTTCCTCCCTTCCTCCCTCTCCGTCTCTCCCTTCTTTCCTCTAAAATCAAAGAATAGGTGTCATTTGAACTATAGCTATGACAGTCAATTTTTGAATGCCAATGTCACTCAGAACTCAATCTCCCAACCTGCATTCACCTGATTACTATCCTGGCTGATGGTGAGGAGGATTGTGTTCGAGGCATGGAGGATGTGCATTTCCACCCATCTGCATGGTCAGGGAGACAGGGTGGCTTTAAAACAACAAGATGTGCAGAATCCTTTTCTACCACATCCAGGCAATGACAGTGTCCCGGCAGGTCTAAGAAACTCCTGCCTAGGAGGAGATGGTCTCCCCTACAAGCAAATGACTGGAAGCTGACTGTACTTCAAAGCTTAGAGATATATTCATCTTCTCTATTCCCCTGCAGAAATAAGCATTTTAAACTCTCCAAGTTCCTAAATGTATACTCAAGTCAAGAATTCTCAGATGAAATTCTAATCTAAGTCAAATCACCTGCTATATTTATTTTATTTTTTTCAAATCACCTGCTTTAGTAATGTAAAGACTTCACTATTTACCCAGCTACAAACCCCAACTTCAAAACTGTAATTTCAGATTATATATAGACAAAGTACACCAACCCTTCTCAGAAAGACAACACTAAAAACAGAGTCTGACATTTATTCCTGTAGGTATTCAGAAATATACTCCTAGTGTTTTTATATAAAAAAGAACATTAAACACACTCATCCAATCCCAACACTAAGAATATTCAGTGTCAGCATTTTGGTTAGCATCAGCACTAAAATAACAATAAAAAGAAAAAAGAAAAACCTTGCCTGCTTTTTAAAATGTGTGATCGTACAACCAGATATGTTTGAAACTATAATAATAACTTGCTAATGGAGCTGTGTGTGTTTTTAATGCTACATTGGATAGGAATGTAGGCAGAGAGAGGCTGTTGTGGAAAATAGTGCCAGTTTTGCGAGAGAATGTGCTGTTTTGTCAGCACAAGGTATGGAACCTTTTACCATTTGCGGGCCACTGACCAATGGGGTGAGATCTGAAAGGGAAAAACCATGGAGAGCCACACAGGAAAACAAACCTAGTCTGTTACATCAGTTCACGAAGGGTGAAGGTTTGAAACAATATGACACAAGCTGTGAATTATTCAGTTTTAAGACAACAGCAGTTGAACAAATGTCTCTGATTTGCCACAGCTGAACATTTCCCTCAGCATCTAGCGCCCATTTTGTTCTGTTCTCTCACTCTGTTGAAACTGCTCAGACAAAAGTCATGAACTTTCTCATCTCCAAATAACATAGGCCCTTGTTAGTCTTCATCCTACCTCATCTCTCTTAAGCATTTGATCCTATTTAACAGCTTGTAGAGGAGGAAAGACTTTTTCCCTCTACCCTCCTAGGTTCTCCTGGCTGACGCCCTGTTAGCTTGACTGACAAAAGATTAACAAAAGAAAAACAAACTGAAGTTTATTAACATGAAGTTTATTAATACACGTACACATTAGAATGAGGAATGAGTAACTCAGAGGGTAGTTTGAAGTTGAACTTATGTAACATCTTAACAAAAGGAAAAAAGGGCTTTCAGTTTAGGATGGCAAATTGTGGGAAAATAAATGAATACAGGAGGAAACTAATAGATGATAAGGGCTAGCTAGCAGTTTGTTAGGTAGGTTCCTCTGGTGCCATATCCAGAGATTAACTTTACAAATTCATGCCCCTTATAGGCAAATAGGGGGAGGGCAGGAGTAATTTCTTATCACTGCTTCCAACTGCCTTTCATTGAAAAATACTCCTCATGTCAAAGTGGCATATTTGGAGATGGCATATACTGCTAACCCTTCAAACACCGTACTCATCAAGTGTTATCCACAGTTGGCTTTTATAACATCCCTTTTTGTTCTGACTCGGATTTATAAGCCCATCTTTTCTTCTTATACCTCACATATCAACTTTCCTTAAAATGTCAGTGTTTCCCCACATTCTCCCTGTTATTACCTTCTCAAGTCTGTTCACACCCAGCTACATCAAAGCACTGACCATTTCTTGACCAACTCCTGTGTTTTCATACATCATGCCAACGCATAGGCTTTTCCTCTGCTTGGAAGGCTGGCCCTCCATTTCTCTGCCTAGAAACCTCTGTAATTCTTCAAGACCCAGCTCAAACATCTATACATACTTTTAGAAAGTTTTGCCTACTTCCCCCCATATTATTCTATGCAATTTGTATATGATTTTAGAATAGTAGATATCAACTTGAATTCTTATTTTTTTCCTAGGTAATAAATTCTTTGAAGGCAGAGAACACATTTATTCATTCATAAGACAAAGTAATTCAACAAACTTTTATAGAGTGAATCTTATAAACTGCTGTAGTTAAGGTGGAGGGGTCAATTCCAATACCAAGTATGCGGTTATCACATAACATAACTTTTGCTCCATCGCTTTACTCTGTTATCAGAAACTTGATCTTGAACAATCATTTAACCATTTTCCAACCTATAAGATGAGGAGCCTGGATTTAATATTCCTAAGGTTCTTTCTACCCTCAAATTATATTCTAATTATTCCTTTCAGAACAGCAAAATTCTGACTTAAAAGAGGCATCAATAAATTTTTTCCTGTTGCATCCTATATTCACTATTAGCGGCATTGCTTGTTCTTTATTGATTCTTTCTTGGTTCTTTTTATGCCCTCCAGCTCTTGTAGCAAATGTTACTGTGGCCATAGGGACAAGGAACTCCAATGATGAAACTCTGTCATGGCTCCATGCCTGGCAGTAGCTATGAAGATCAGAGGAGTGAGACTGAGATCACTAGGTTTCCTTAAATTGGGCCCTCATTTCTGTTCTCTGCCTTCACAGTAACTGTAACTGGTTTTAGTAATCAAGAATATCAAATAAGCCAAAGAACTAGTTTCAAGATGTCCTGGGTAGGTCAGGAAAATATGAAGCTAAACATAGTTGCGGGGAAATAGCTTACAGTTGCTACCTTTACAG